TTTTGGAATTATTTATTATCTAATTTAGAAAAAAATCTTTATTTAAGAAATATCAATAAATATATAATATACATTTTTTAGATTTAGTTATACAAATCGACTTTTCTTACATTTAGGAAATAGTCCTCCATGTTCTTTGACAACTTGCTGCAAGTATTGAAACTGTTCTTCGTTTTTAGTCACAACTTTCATTTGTTTGAAATACTCTTCATTTTCCTTATAACTCTCGTCTCAAAGATGTTGAACAAATTCAATGACTTTTGAGCAACGAAATCACTCAGATCCTTTTGAATAACCGAATTGATGTTCTTTTGAATTTAAATTGGTAATAAGATATGATTATTTACATATGAGATTAAATCGAAAGTGCAAAACTATAATGAGGATATTCTTCCCATTAATATTAAGAAGAATACGTGGTAACTATTTTCTAGAGGTAACTAGCGACTAGTATTTTTGTGTGAGATCCAAAAAAAAATCGTTTTTTTTTAACCAATCCTAACCTATATACAGTCTGTCCAAGATAAGGATGTTCGTGATGAGTATATTGCAAATGGTAATTTTTTCTCAACAGCATGATATACATCCTTATCTTGGACACACTGAATTTTATTAACCCTAAAAGGAGAGTTTTACTAAATTCAGAAATAAAAGTATAAAATAAGAGTTTCATAATGGGATTTCTTAACAAAACACTAATAACGTGCGTTATATTTTACTTTTTTCAAAATGGGTTCAGTTTAAACACATTAATAATTTTGGAAATTTTGAAATACTTACCTTATCGAAATAAAAACAATAACAAAAGTTAGTTTACCCAAATTATATACTCTGCTTCGGACTCTGTATCTGTGAAGTTTAAAAATAATAATTGATCGAAACCAAAAAAACGCAGAACAATAATAATCGCTTTAGATTTACTGTTAATGGGTGCCTATATTTAAAACGCCTTATCAAAAACAGAAAACAGTTTTGTAGTCCACACAAATCCTGTCGATCGGAATTGTCTATAATTTTTGAGGAAGGCCAATAGATTCAAATGGATAACCGATAGGTCTACGAAAAATCTTTTTAAAATATGTCGAATTGTACAATGGATACAAAAGCCATTTTTCCTAACCGAAATTTGAGTAGCACCTTGAAACTAAAAATTTAGAAGCGATCACCGGTAGCCATGATTGGCAAATTATCGATGGATATCTAATCATTTTTTCAAGGCTGCCGAATGGGCTGATAACGTTCCAATGGCGTCAAAGTGTACGCAACTAAACGAGAGAGTTTTTGACTCGTCCCAGATGTCATCGTCATTTGCTTCTTTTATTTGTGCTTGTGTCTCTAAATTTTTGCGGTAAATTTTGATGCGGAGGTGTGCAGAAGTCGTGACGTAACAGCGAGGTGGGTATACCTACATACAAGATATTTTTGAATTAAGGCGCTCTATTTTTGTGGAAGAATTTGAAAGACGCATTAGACTGCTAATTGCTAATAAAGTAGTTCTTTGGTTGTTACCGAAATATAACTTTGAAATTTACGATTACTAAAAAGCAATTTTATTGATACCGTAATTATCGCTCATGTGGAACTATTAATTAATACTTAATTGGTGTTAATTCTTAGTTTTATTATTACCGAGTTTGACTTTTAAGCGAACCTAACTATTGACTTTAAATTCTCTTAAGTTATATTCCATGGAGCCTCACCTTACAGTTTTTAGGTACCGCTTTCACAACCCACATAAATAGTGCTAGATACAAAATTAATAACTTATCTGATTGTATACTGTTTTATTTTTACTTCTTTAAGCCCCGTTATTTAGGTTCACTAAAGCCGTTCGGAATTATAATAGCGTAATAAAAACGGTTTCAAGAATCCGGCATTAAATCGAAATATATTTCCGTTCAACCGCAGGTATTAACTTGCCTAAAATTTTTCACATAAAACCTTCCTCGGGAAATCCATATATTATTCATCAATCTATATAAACGAGGCCTCATCGCGTCACCAAAAAGAAGAACCTTAAGAAAAGATGCTAAAGACATCAAAAAGAACTATACACAAGTTTTACTTTTAAAAAAATATCTACCTAACTTGTCGGTAATGTCTTACTAGCATTTTAATCAAAACAGATTGAACTTTGAGGAATATTTCCAGCAAATGCTAGATCTTATTACTCCTAGGTCCGAAAAAGTATCTGCGTCTCATTCATTGGCTTACTTTAAATAAGAAGCAATTTGTCGATAAAATCGAAATATAAAGTTATTTCGCCTTTCGACATATCGATGTGAATTAAACCTATATCGCTTCTAGAGATAGAGAGGCAATGAACTCTGAAAAAATTCTGAGAAGTTCCCTTCAATATCCGCATGCCAGAGATTTAAAATATAGCTTCTAACCAATGACCTTGTGGCAATGAACAACCAACATGGCCGCTGACAGATCGTTGATAAATCTTTTTGCAGCAGTATTTTGTCGTTAAATGTTCTGAGAAAATGAATTAACTAAGTGTGTGGAAGTCGCTGTTTGGAAACAAAATGGCTCAAAATGCAGGTTAGTACCCCATGTTGGTTGTTGAATGTCACAAGGTCATTGGTTAATAACAAGATTCTAAATTTCGCGCATGCGCGTGTTGAATGGACTTTCTCAAAAAAAATCATAGTTGCTCCATAGGTTCCTGTATACTCGGCATTAGGCATGTCCGCTATATCTCTAGTAGCTATATGAAGCTAACTCAAAGTTAACAAGGCTTTGCGCCATGTTATTTCTAACGTAACCTGTTTTTACACAAATACATCGACTTAAGCTTGGCTTCCAATTCTACTCAAATATTCGGAATCCGTCAAACGAACGCTAACAATTCGTAAACTGTCCTTTGGACGTTGCCTCATAAGTTCCTGTATTATCAACATAGGCAGGGCCTCCATAACTCTGGTAGCTGTATAGAAAAATCTATCGCAGTTAGTTCAATTAAATTCAATAATACGGTTGGACAAGACTATTATGATCATTCGGCCACCGGAGTTAGTTAAAAGGTTCTTCTTTTTCTTAACTTGGATTTTTAACTGCTCTACTTATTTTAGACGAAATTTAAACCAGCGTCATCATGAAAATCACACACCACCCAAAATATATAGTCAAACAATACATTTCAATTTATTGTATTTATAGTATTCCTATAACAAGGAGCTCCAGAGGGTAATGGGTACTTAATGCTACCGTCAATTTTGACAGAACACCTACTGACAGAAAAATAGATAAAATAAACCAAATAAATTTAAACGATTTCTTAATAACAATAAAAACGGTATAAAAAAATGCTTAATAAGAAAAGAAAAAACTCTACATCTTTAAACAGGATAGTTCTAACCTCGTTATAAAGAGGACATCTAAACAGTACGTGGAATAGAGTTTTATTTAGGAGAAGGGTCCTCTAATAGCTATATGATTAAACCACATAGAATTGATATGGTCGCAAGTTAAACGGGTTGTAGCAAAGCATAGCACCACTTTTATAATTAGGGTAGTCTAAATATTAATATTAATTACAATTTAACTATTTTCCTATCCTAAAATAATTAATACCTCAATTATCTACTCATCTCTATAATTAATAATTATTATATATGCAAATTAGTGTGCCTCTAATTTAGAAACAATTCGAGGTGTGTAGATCTTAACACTGTTCTGATCGTGGACAACATGGATGATCTGCTACAGATTGTTAACATGGTGGGAGACTGCAGCCAGGAAATGGGACTGAACATGAACACAAAGAAAACTAAAATCATTGTTATCACGAGAGAGATAGATAACTTTAAAAACGCCAGCTTAATGTATAATATAAAAGTTATAGAACGCGTGGAAACCTTTAGGTAAAGTCTGTTCATAGATATAAGAAAGTGACTAACTGATACGAATTAAGGAAAGACCCAGGCAAGCTGTAAGAATGAAATATGGCCGAACAGGTCCGTACTTTGCTTAGAATTTAGGAATTAGAATTATTTGTGGTTTTGTTAGGAAATATACTAAACAATATTTATTTATTTATGTATGTATTTATGTTTAAATCTAAAATAAAATTACAAATTATTTTCACAGACATACGTCCTTTTGTAGGTTCAAGCTGTGTAGAACCTCAATTAATTGCGTTTTGGATCGTTGCTTTTGTGTCACATGAGGAAGGGGTTTTAGTCAACTGTCTACTGTGATAACTTGCATTGTCCATTACAATGACGCTATTTGTTATAGTTTGTTTTTAAACGAACTTTCAAATAAATCAGCGGTAGTGTCTTCATGGTAATCCAGAGAAGAATCTTTAATATTTTTCGCAGACAGAAAAAGTCCATTTGGAATCCAACCATCTTTAGAGCCAGCATGCAAAATAGTTATTGTTTTACCTCTTTTTGATGGCGCGTTTGTTTTGCACTTATCAGTTGAGTCAACCCAACCCTTTTCCAGGGTATCATAAGTGTCGAACCAGGTTTCATTCACGTAAATAATTGGCCTTTGTTGTTCTCTGTAAATCGTAATTTTTTCTAGATATTCCAGTCGCCATTTCCGAATTCTAAAAGGTTCCATTAAAACTTGCCTTTTGTTAATTTTTTTAAATCTAAACCCCATGTGTTGAATACACTTCCATAAGGTAGTTCTGCCACATTTAACACAGGTTTCATCTTTTTCAAGCCTCCTAATTAAGATATCTAATGTAGGCACGCTTTGTTCCTCGTATAACTGGTAAAGTTTACGCCGTATTATATCTTGATCACTTTCATCTACACTCGAGAAAATGTCATCATCGCTTCTTTTTTTCCTCGCTGAAATGGGATTATTCACAATTTTCCATACAGTTGATGTTGGAATTTTCGTCAATGTGGCCGTTTCTTCTAAATATGCTTGGTTGCTGGCACCACGTTCAATCAGAGTTAAATAAACATTGTTTATAACTTCCTTAGTCTCAATAGAATAGTGTTTTCTACATTTGGGCGGGAGCATCTCCTGAGATACACTAGACTCGCACATATTTTGCATAATTCGCACACGATTCAACACACGCTCTATTACACACGAAATAAGAATGATTACTAATAAACTTAAACTAAGTAGTAAACCAAACCAAAGAATATTAAACACAGTTATAAAATTATTTTCTATTACGGACCACAATTTTACCTGAATTTAAATTCCGAAACTTTAGGTAATAATCTTGTTTTTCCATTTTTTAGACGCCTTCAAATTTACTTCACGGCGTTTCGCAACGCCTCGTATAAAAATTTAAATTGTAAATTTTCACCGGGGAAAGTTTTTCCTTTTAACGCGTTGCGTTACATCTTCCAGGAAAAAAAAAACGCGCTTATTAAGCGAACAACATCTGGGTTGTCGATTGTTCTCGTTATATTTTTATAGTAGGCTGAGTTTTAGCCGGAAACGATGCCCCGCTTCCGCCAGCACCGGTTGCGGAAGACGTTCCGACGCCGCTTCGAGCGCATTCGGCCCATTGTCGGCGACGACTCGTTTGTTTTTAAGAGCGCGCGCGTCTACGAGATCGACGAGGATAACGCGCTGAAAGTTCCGTGTTTACCGGAAGATTATTATTCAAGCGTCGATTCGACGCGCTAAAATTCGGAAAAATTACTAATTTATTTAATAACTGATTCACTCAAGTAGTTAACGCGCGTCGGCGAGGGTTAACCTTATATTAATTGAAAAATTGCCGTAATAATTGGGCTTAAATCGCGTGAAATGGGCGTCAGTACACAAGTGCCTCGCGAGCCTAACGGGAACTGTGAAACGAGGACGATGATGGTGAGTTGTAGAGGCGCCGACACCAAACGACTCGTCGTGACACATTTTCACATTATTATCGATAAAATATGGCAAAATATAAATAAATAACCGGAAGTGGACCGGGGCCAATTCAAACTACCACTAAATAACACTAACTAACAGAGGAAGAAAGAAGCGACAAAAGGGTGCAAACGAAATTTTTTGAGTGGGGGAAATGTGGGGCAACTGTCAAACCGGTGCCGCTGTGTGCTTTTCTTTTGTTGCATTTACTTTTGCTTTATTTATGAAAGTAAACTTACCTGATCTCAAAGCTTCAAGCTTGACAGCACGACTTAAAAGTGATGGTAATAAAAAGTCTTTTATAAATTGATTTTTGTAACTCATAACCAAAACAATATTAAAATAATTTCGTTTTCCGTAAGATGTGCAAATTTAAACTTTATCCCAATGTAGAAACAAAAATTCCACGCTTAGACTATTTCTCTCAGCGTAAAACGTGCGGCAGGCGTGACGTCGGAAATCCTTTTTGTCGCTTCTGTCAGATGTTTACTCTGGCGCCTGGAGTCTGGATCAATACTTCTTGCCGAAAATGTGAACTTTTTGTGAGAAATGCAACCGAAAAGCCCATTATTAGATGCATTTACAACTGGCACCCACAGCTTCTTCTTTATACTATGTTTCATTGATTGCATTTGTTTAAAAAAATCGACAATTATTATTAAGAAGCAGAGAAAAACTACGAATCACAGGTCATACCTCCACATTTTTGCAATATTCGAAATATAAAACAAATATGAAAAATTTAACGAAGTAATGGTCGCATACTTAAAATTTCAATTGCTTTAATTTCGATGTTTAACGGTTTCAATTCTGTGTGATTGTGTATCATCTTTTTCAATAGTACAGGAAAATAAATAAGAAAATAAAATAAATAAAAAGCTTATTTTGGCTATATAAACAAATTTTAAATTAGAGTTTCTTATTATGCGTATTATTATTCCTAATATTTTTTTTTGCGTCCTTCAGAAAAAAAATTAAAGTTGTGCTTCATATTGTTGCAATAAACATGAAGTTTGTGATTTTTATGCTTTATGCTTTGTTGGAACAAACATGAAGTTTGTGATATCCTAGAATACAATTAAAAATCTAAACAAAATTTTGCCAGATTAATGTGGATTTTGATTAATTTTCAAACATGTTTAGGTCAAATACAAAAAACCATCCGAATTTCAAATAAAAGTAATTCACTTTTGCGAAATTTACCCTCTATGCCGTTCGACTTTCAAAAGGCACCTAAAGTATATATCGAACCATTTTCCGAGAATTTTTATATTTTGGCGCAATAATAAACAATTTTCGATATATTGTACACTTAAGGGATGACACTGTATACCGGGTGTTTATATCTGGCGTAAATTGAATGTTAAAAAATAACATTCGTTTGGTTAATAAAAATGGTTTAAGCTACCTAAATCAAATTTAGATCACAAATGACATTGAGTGAGTGATAAAAGTTACTGCTGAAAAATTTTTAATATCTTGTACAGGAGCGTCGCTAAAGGGGTGCGTTTAAATTTCATTTCATTTCATAATAAAAAATACGATTTTTTGGGGCGTCTTTGAAACCTCCTTCATTTTTGGGACATATGTCAGTACCTTACTTAATTGATTTATACGGGGTGAGTCTTTTGAATTGAAATTTTTATAATTTCATTTCCATTTGCAAACCACGCTGTATGTTTCTTTCTTTGTCAAAAAGGACAAACGTTTGTTAGTCATTTTCCATCCAAAATTTCATAAAAAAATATGGAGAAACTTTAATCCTAGTTGTTCGAATCACCTTGTATACACTAAATATTAGATTATTCCTTTTGATAACGGCCGCAAATCCAAATACCGAACCGCCTTATCAGATTAGCACGTCGTATATCTTTTTTTTTTCGTAATCTAATCCAGTATCTGCCAAGCGATGGACGAAAATGCGTATAACTTCTACGGAAAAACTCCTCGCGATGCCGTACCGCAAATCGAACGGAAGGTGGTCGTCCGAAACGTCGTGTTGTCGTTACTCATCGGCGTAAAACGTTTCAGGTCCCCGAAATGGCCGACTACATCGAATACGAGTGGAGGACGAACATCATCAGCGAGGACTTGAAGAAATCGTTCAAAAATTTCAACGCGAAGGACCGCGAGGTGGCGGTAAAAGCGCTTCGCGAAACGATCCAAAAGTGTGACGATTTCGAATTTAAGAACAACATGAGCCAGGACGACAAAACCCTGCAGAAGTTCCTCTTCGCGAGAAAGTTTCGGCTTCGGGAGAGTTTCGATCTAATCAAAAACTACTACTGGTACCGGAAACGGAACCCGGACGTCTTTGGGGAACTCGACTTGGCCGCCGGCGACGTCAGACGCGCATTGGAAAACGGTAGACCATAGATGAAAAGAGATTTTGGTTAGTAAAAGCGAAGGAATTATCGTTGCAGGGCTGCCGGGCGTACTGAAAGACAAAGACAGGAAGGGTAGATGTGTGTTGCTTCTTACCGGCAACAACTGGGACTGCAGTTACAGCTTGTTGGCCATCTACAGGGCGATGTTGCTCAGCCTCGACCACCTAACCAACGACATCCATAACCAGGCGAACGGTTTTGTGGTTATAGTGGACTGGACTGAATTTAGTTATAGACAGACCTCACATCTCAAACCATCGGTCTTGAGGTTGATGATCGAGGGGTTGCAGGACTGCTACCCCGCGAGGTTCAAGGGGATACATTTTATAGGACAACCGTGGTACGTGGACGCCGCGATGGCCGTAATTAAACCGTTCCTGAAGGAGGAGATCAAGGAACGGATTTTTAGTCACGGGAACAACCTCAGCACTTTGCATGAACTAGTTCACAGGTAAGAGGAGCGGATAAATAATAATCTTGAAATTATTTTTAAAATTGCCGCTTACAATTAAGTGGCGTAGCGCATAGTCTTTTATTTGAAAAATTTGCAATATATTTAGATGTAAATATAAATTTATTCGTATTTAAGATTTCGATTATTGTTACAGAGACGTGCTTCCAGCGGAACTAGGCGGAGAGAAGCCTAGTTACAATCCGCGCTCTTTCTTGGACAGTCTGGACGACAAAACCAAAGTTATAAAATGATAAGTTTTAGATTTTAGGAACTTTATATAAGCATGACATTTTTTAAGGATTATTTATTCATTTCACTGTGGCTGCTTCCGCCGAACACTCATATCTAGGTACTGTTTTTTTAAATATATAAACGACTGTTATTTGTTAAAACAAAGTTGAGGGAACAAAAAGAAAAAGATAAAAGCAATAAAACTGTTAGTAATATGTATTACATAAGGCTAAAATCTGCAATTCATCTGTGATTTCGTTTTGTAATGTAATTAACGTTGAAATAATTTATAGGTACGTGGCATAGCTATAATTTTTGTCTTGAATTTAATAAATAAAAGTATAATAACATATTCGAGTTTTAATTTCGTCATTCTATTAAAGGGTTAACGTCTATTTCAGAAATTCTCATTTTTCCGAAATATTCTTGCACGTAAAAAATCGAGCAGTTTTAAATAAAAGAACCGAAATTAACCACTAAAAACAATCATATTTATCTTGAATTTAATAAATAAAAGTACAATAATATATTTGAGTTTTAATTTTGTCATTCTATTCCAAGGTGCAAAAATTAATTAACTCAGGTCTAACGTCTATTCCAGAAATTCTCATTTCTGCTAAATATTTTTGCAATTAAAAAAACGAACAGTTTAAAAAAAAATGAAAGAACCGAAATTAACCACTAAAAACGACCAAGAGGGGAAGCCGTTTTTTTTGGTGTCAGTGAAAATCCTTTTTTGCTTGCCGAGAATAAGGAAATAAGGATATATATATAAGTGTTGGTCTGTGACTAAAAGAAAAATCCTTGAAATATAGCGAAAAATGGGCGAATGACCACAGCATAGTTGTCCACCCGGGAGCAAAATTTATTTTTTCTCTCTCTCTATTCTACGATTCCTTGTGTCAAATAAAAAAAACAATTTAAGTTGTCAATTTTCTATCAAACGTGAGTGTTTAATTAGTATTAGTGCACTTTTAGTTAAGAAGGAATAAAAGTAATATCTTAATACCCAGCTGTTTTACGATACTGTAACATCTTCCTTACCATCTAATCCTTTCTTTTTAATTTAAGCGGATATTTCGCTTCTCTAACCTTAAAATTTGGTTAGCTTTTCTATGATTTCATAAATCTGGTCACCCCTTTGGTAAAATTACGTTAAAATGAGCGGTGGATTTAACTACGCCAATATCCATGCAAATACTAAAAGGCACAATGCTGTTCCGCCCCCTTCGAGTGGGGTTAGCAAGCAGGGCTATTCGACAATGAACGCTATCAGTCAAAATGCGATGGTGGCCTCATGGGGCACGGGTAGTCGAAAGAGGGCGGCCACAGAAGACGAGTAGGTTGCACGGACCAGCGGCTAGGAGCATTTTGAATGTGCCTGTTGCAGGTATTTTGATCAAGATGATGAGGAAGCAGTACCAGAACTGGCCTATATACCTGCACCGGGTAGTCCTACCCATATGCAAATGGACAAGAAAAAACACCGGCACGAAGACGAGGATGATGATCCTCTTGACGCATTTATGGCGGGAATTGAAGCCCAAGTATTTCATTACTTATTTTGTTACGCTGGATTTTTTATTACTTTTAACTCAGGTAGAAAAAGAAAGCCAATCGACTTCCGTCTCAGTTGCTCCGCAACAAGCACCTGTGCGTAATGACCTTGAAGAAGAGGATGTTGAGGAGTCTTACTATCGGTACATGGAAGAAAACCCAAATGCTGGTCTTTTGCCAGTTGAAGAAGACCATCCGGATATCGACTATGATGAAGATGGCAACCCAATCCCGCCCGACAAGAAAAAAATCATTGACCCCCTGCCGCCAATAGATCATTCTGAGATAGAGTACAAACCTTTTGAGAAGAATTTTTACATTGAACATCCCGAGATAAAATTAATGTCGGATGATCAAATCAAGGAACTGAGGCATACATACGATTTGACAGTGACCGGGACCGGTGTGCCCAAACCTGTCGCTTCATTTGCACATTTTGGATTTGACGATAAACTGTTGAAAACCATTATCAAAGCGGAATATGTTTCTCCCACTCCCATACAAGCGCAAGGAGTCCCGTGCGCGCTCATGGGACGAGACGTTTTGGGGATCGCTCAAACTGGTACGCCTTCAGGTTAGTATTGGAGCAACAGTGTCTGAAAGCATTTACTTTCAGGTAGCGGTAAGACCGCTGCGTTTTTATGGCCCCTTTTGAAGCATGTCTCTGTTCAACCTCCCGTTGAGCCGGGTGAAGGGCCGATAGCTCTCATTCTGGCGCCCACTAGGGAACTGGCGCTTCAAATCTACAGCGAAGCGAAGAAATTCGCGAAAGTTTATGATGTCAAAGTTATGTGCGCCTACGGCGGCGGCTCCAAGTGGGAACAAAGCTTGGTGAGCTTTTAATACAAATAATATTAATTTTTGTTGTAATTCAATATAACATACATCAGGCACTGAAAGAAGGTGCGGAAATCGTTGTGGCGACGCCTGGTCGTATCATTGACCATATTAAGGGCGGGGCGACGAATCTCCAAAGAGTAACGTTTCTGGTACTCGACGAAGCAGATCGAATGTTCGAGTTAGGTTTCGAGCCTCAAGTCAGATCAGTTTGTAACCACGTACGGCCGGATAGACAGACGCTGCTGTTTTCGGCAACTTTTAGAAAAAGAATCGAAAGGTAAGCGACGCGGCTCCGACTCGAAGGACCGAATTGTAATGCGTTTCCAGACTTGCCAAAGACGCGCTCAAAGACCCGATTAAGATAACGCAGGGGACGACGGGACAGGCGAATGAGGACGTTAAGCAGCACGTGCTGTTATTACCCACCCAGGAAGCCAAGAGAGAGTGGCTATTCGGTAAATTGGTGGAGTTGTTATCGGCCGGGTCAGTTCTAGTGTTCGTGACTAAGAAATTGGACGCGGAGAAGGTGGCCAACGATTTGCTGGTGAAAGAGTTTGATTGTCTGTTGCTTCACGGCGATATGGAACAGGCGGAGAGGAATAAGGTTATCATGGCTTTTAAAAAGCAAGAGTGTCCCCTTTTGGTAACCTTTTTTTTGTTTTTACTAATCCACTGAGTTTGTATGATACTTTCTGACGTTAAGATCGCCACGGACGTCGCCGCGCGAGGTTTGGACATCCCGCACGTGCGCACGGTGGTAAATTATGACACGGCACGCGATATTGATACTCATACCCACCGGATCGGTAGGACTGGTAGGGCGGGCCAGGAAGGTACCGCGTATACGCTACTGACGTTTAGGGATAAGGAGTTCGCGGGGCATATCGTCAAAAATTTGGAGGCTGCCCACCAGGAAGTAGCCCAAGAAGTTCTCGATCTAGCGTTGCAAAGCTCGTGGTACAGGAAGCAAAGGTTTATATATGTTCAGGAATTAATGGACTTTTATTTGGATATTGTGTCTTTAAAGATATAAGAGAAAAGATACTCCGGCGAATGTAGGAGGTATAGGGCTCGGTTACAAAGAGAAGGTGACACCAGTGACTCCAATGAAGGGGTTCGTGGCAAGCTCGTCGGGTAACCTTTCGACTACTACTGCGGCGAAACCGAAAGGACCCGCCACGGATAGATTGGCGGCCATGAAAGAGGCTTTTAAGGCTCAGTATACCAGCCAAGTTAGTTAAACCACGGGTGTAACGCGTCATTCTTTTAAAACGTAATTTGCAGTTTACCGCAAGCGTGGACAACCCGCCGCCGCCGCCCCCGCCGCAGTCTAACCGAAAGAAAAAGAGCAGATGGGAGTAAACTAAGCCAAATTATAATGTTAATGTGTTTTAATGTTAGGCTTTCGAGACCATATAGAACGGTACATTTGCACTACCGGTTAAGATTTCACATTTTCGAAACGTAAACATCGTTGGAAACGTTAAAGAATAAATATACTATAGACAGCAGACGCGTTTTTTCGGTTTCCCTATCCCGCGGTCTCCCTGTATAACGTGTCCGAAAAAAAATCTCCGCCCACTCGCCATTTTGCAGATAACAACCGCCAGGGTTAACAAACTTTTCCCGCTCAAGGCGGCGACAGACGTCCTCCTGTTCTCGTAATATATGCCACGGAAGATGCTTCGACTTTTCTGCTGCGTTTTGGTGTGCGTCTCAGCCATCAGTGGGTGCGATAGTGGCGATTACGAATGCCAATTCGGTAAGCACGGAACGACAAAGCTCAATTAGAGGAAATGCGTTAATAGTTTGAACTTTTTGAAATTCCAACCTGGTGTCAACAAAGAAGGCTTAATTCAGTCATGAAAAATCTTTAAATCGTCTGGAATGCTTACGAAAGCTAGAAAATATAAACCTTTAAGTCGCATTTGCCAAGTCATTCTAGTTGAATCATCGCATGATGCCATTTATCAAAAAAAAAAAAAATACAATAACCAAATAATATAACGGAAATGTACTTAATATTAGAACGTTACATTTCTAGAACATTTGTCCCAGGTAGCAGAGGGTCGTCAAAATGACGTCATTAACTAGTCACCAAATGACGTCTGCAGGGCGTGGATTTCATCTACTAATGTCTCAGACGAATGATGTTACTTAAGGGACGCCTTTTTTACGTCAATTAGTGTCGTCACCTTTTGTTATTTAAGTGAAATCGTTTTTACGTCAGATTTTGGTCTTTACTGCCCAAAATATGACGTTTTTTAAATTGTTTTTTTCTTTTTGCGACGCGGTAAATCACACAGAAACTGCCGCTTTAAATAACGTAGAATGTCTTTTGCGATTGCGGAAAATGGAGAATTATAGGAAGCGAATAAGGATTGGCTTTTTTTTTTAAATTAATAATGGAAGTATAATATACAGGGTCTTCCATTTCATTTATTCACGAAAATGCATATTTTTTATTTTGGCGCACCCTGTATAAACGATACGAACTATCTTCAAGACAAGTATATTATAAACGACTGTACAACACTTTATAAAATTGTTGGCATAATAAAATTACAGCTGTTCGAAAGGGCGTCAAAAATATAGGGCATTACACACAGTATAGACCATAACAACCCTACATTGGGTTATTGAGTAGCTATTAAAGCAACAACATACAGGGTGTTCCATTTAAAAACAAAAAATTGATTTCCCACATATATATGAATCATCCTGTATATTTAAAAATAATATTCATATCTGAAATTAATTAAATCATTTTATGACGACATTCGGAGGTCATTTTTGTGATGTTAATAAAAAAAAATAAAAGATTTTTTGACGTGTTTTTCGGACCACTAACGAGTAGCGATCACTTAAACCTCGAAAATGACGTCACTTTGACGACCTAAGATTTTGCAAATACAGACTGTCTGTAATCTAGGTGCAACAATAACTTAAGTAGCACATATTTTTTTTTATTTTTGGCATTTAGGAAACTTTTGTATTGAAATATTTTTGTGTATAAATAAATACATTTAAAAAAATAAATAAATATTCGACAGCCTGTGTTTTATAAACAAATAAGCATTCGGATATTAGTATCGATAATTATTACTGCATATCTATAGCATCTCCAGTTAATATTTTCCCATTTTGCATAAAATAACAGATATACAATGCCTTTGGTTTTGATACTAGTTACGAAAGTTGAAAAACTAACCAAAAACTAAATATTCTGATTTTCTTACTTCCCGTCGTTTTGAAGTTATAAATAACACAATAAGGAAATATTCTATATACATAAGAAATATAATTCTTTCATACATTTTTATGGAATGCAATAAAAGTTATTTATCCAATTATTTTGGGTGAAATATTGAATTTGACATTATTAATTCGCCTTTATTTTTAGCGGTACTTGTCTGAGGAGCAAAACATATCCAACAATTAACATTCTTTTTTTTTACGTAACTGTTAATTTTTAATTGGTTGAACCGCTAAATAAATAAATAATACATTATTAATTTTTCAAAGAAACTTCCACAGTGATATCAATGGTATCAATATTATTGTTATTTCGGTTCTACATTTTAAAGCTGAGTCTAGGTAGTTGCCTACTTTGTCATAAACTTTTTGCAAACGGTCAGAGATACAAATTTGGTAATAATGGGAAGAGTTGCATTAGAACAACCAAATTGATGATGATTTGGCGCAAACGAAACACCTGTGTTTACACGATGGAAAATAATGCGTGTTATTCAAAAAGTCCGCATTTTGAAAGCTAACTGAAAAACTAAAATTACAATAATAGTAAAATATGTCGGGGATTTCAGATCCGGACCGGCCCGAATCCGAGGGTCCGTGCGACAATTTCTACCGTCATACCTGCTCCGCGTGGCTATCTCAAACGCGCAGACCCGAATTCGAATCGGTGTGGAACCATTTCATCGAGGGATCGTACAAAATAAACCGAAACGTCCGGAAAATTTTGGAAAACGCTTCGGACGACGTGACGTTAAAAAAGGCCAAGACGTTTTACGAGGCATGCGTCAATTTTGGATCTCACGAAGATCGTTACGTCATCAACTTGAAATTGTTAATCGACTATTTCAGCGGATGGCCGCTGGCGGAAGACAAATGGTCCGGAGTCAACTACAACTGGTTGGAGAGCGTGGCGCAGATCAACAAGGTCCTCGACGTGCATCCCATTTTCAAGTTTCACGTCGGCATCGACTACAAGGACACGCGAAAGTATTCGATATACGTATGCGTTTTTGCGTAATTTATATATCGGTAATTTTATAATCGGTCGGTTTTGTGTTCCAGATCGAGCCGGGTACCCTCATTTTCCCGCAAAACGCCCTTTTAAAACCTTTAAACTATTCCAGAGAACTTAGAGCTTATTCGCAATGGATAATTAAAAGTGCGTTGCATTTATATCCCAAAAAGTATGTTACGAAACGGTTGAAACTGCAGGCCAAAAATATCGTCGAGTTTGAAGCGCGCCTCGCCAAGTTCATGGTTCCGAAATCGAACATCGAAAAGACGAATGTTAAAATGTTATCCGTAAGGACGTCAATAAATTTTCTCGATGTCCTCCGGCACCTGTTTGCCGGTCCTACTTTCAAGGTCGAACAAACTGATAGCGTAGTAGTAAGGCATTTGGAATATTTCGTAAACGTTATGGAGTTCCTTAAGGACGTCGACAGCGAAAGCATAGGTAATTTCTTAAAAATACCACTTACCAATACGTATCAAAAACATAAAAAAACACATCAAATAGGAATAAAAAAAATCAAACTTTATATTTAATATCGCCACTCTATCTCAACACAAATCATTTCGATGTTTTTTTTCTTTGTCTGCGTCACAGACCAGACATTTGTAAGGATGCGCACCATGGTACGCTGAATTTTCGTTTGTGACGCATTCCCATATTTGTTTTAGCAAATTATCTAATATGGTGCGTAATCAAAGCTTTGTCCCGAGACACGAGCCGATATCTCCACGAACTGAATTTTTTGATGGACAAAGCAGTTTTGGGCATTACCGCCGATATTTCGCGGAGGACCGAGTGCGTCAGCAAGGTTATCGACCATTTCAGTTTTGCAATTTTGGCGAAGTACTTGGATTTCTACTTCGACGAATCGTCGATAGAGAACGTCGACAATATTGTAACCAACGCGCGGATGGAATTTGAAAAGTTGTTGGACCAAAACGATTGGATTAGCGAGGGCACTAGGTCGTTAGCTATCGAAAAGGTTAAAAAGATGCAGCATTTCGTGGGATTTCCTAATTGGGCGCGCAACGGTAGCGTCGTCAATATGTTTTACGAGAACGTGAGAGACTAGCTAGAAAAAACGTTATTGCTTTACAACGCTATGTCGTTTTTAGTTGAGTATTAGTAACAATCATCTACTCAACGTTATCAACGTTAAAAATTTTAAAAGCGAAAATAATTTGAGGTTATTAAATTCCAACGCCGATTCAATTCTGTAAGCGCGCATAATTCAGTCGAAACAAACGACCATTAAAATTTTTGTAGGTGGCCTTCTAACATTTTTGAAGTAAATTCTTACTACAGCGTTTTGCAAAATTCCGTTTGTAAGTATATTTAACTAACTTCTCCTTTCATACAAAAATTCTCTTCACAGTCATTCCACTGGGCATTTTGCAACCCCCATTTTATAAGCAAAACAGGCCGAGGTACTAATTGAATACAAATATCGCAAATATGCCATAAAGAGAACCACTTATTTTCAGTATACACAATTACGGAGCCCTTGGGGCTCTCATAGGACATGAGTTGTCACATTCGTTAGACACCATAGGTAAAAAAAAACCGGCGACTTACCAAACACTGCTTTATGACAGAGATCGATTTTTAGGAAGGCAAGCCAATGTACAGGGCACAATTTCCCAGTGGTGGCCCTTGCAGGACATTTTCAATTACCAGACAAGAACCAGATGTTTTGAAGACTTGTACAACAGCAAACACATACCGACGGTCGGTGAAAATATAGCCGATAATGTGGGATTGGAAATTAGTTTGCAGGCCTATAAAAATTTAGACTTGGAGGGCATTTTACTGACAGATATGGGTATGGATGGTTTGTTTTTTTCGAGTTATGCTTTCATGTGGTGCGAAAAATCGGAAGCAATGGAATTATTCAACGATGAGCATACTGCAGTAGAGAGCCGAGTGAATAGGGCCATGTTGAACAACAAATCGTTCAGGAAACTTTTTAATTGTTCTAGCGTGCCAAACTACTGCGAACTCTGGTAGCAAAATAAATTTGTTTTCACGTAAAATCTACGCTTTTATTTTCGTCACGTTACGCGAAATACCATACATGTTTCTTAAAATTTACACAAATACAATAAAATTGGGGTGAAAGTAGTATATGGCAAAATGATGGGCAAGGTCAGGTAACCAATGCTCTACCAAATATTGATTTATAGCAGAGACAATTTAAAAGTAGGCATTGGGGATAATAAAATAAAATGAACTTAATAAGAGGAAAGGATAAAAACAATTAATAAAAATTTACCGTTAATTGACAGCTGGTAACCTGGAACACTCTTAACCTATAAACACTTCGGTCGTTTTGCAGAATCTATTATATAAAATCACAAATCTATTGCTGCAGCTTTTCCAGTTCATAAATCTGGAGTATAAGGTCATTTTTACGGTTGATTTTTGCAAGTTGTTCGGGCTCGGGTTTCGTTAAAGCCCCGCTTTTAACTTTCTCTTCCAAGGCTTCCACTTCGCGGAGCCGTTTTTTAAGGTTTTTCAATTTTTTCGCCGGATCTGTTGCCTCCTGATTTTTTGCTGACTTATCAGACTCTGGTTTTTGCTTTGCGCCGTCGGAGATTTTTGTACTCTCAAGAATTTTGTTTATTTCATCAATTTCTAAAACAATGCCGCAAATGTAAGCATAGCGATCAGCAATATCCAAAACTTACTGCTTTTGGGTTTCTTTTTCTGAGTCTTTTTATCGTTCTCGTCAGATATGATGTAAAGTCCGGGAATTATCCTTTGAGCGACCTGTCCCTGAGCAGAAGCTAAGGCTACGGGTTCCTGTTTCTTTGTCATAAACTGCTTGCCTTTGCTTTCATACAGAGGCACTTCTTCCTGAGGCACATAGCCTTCTTTAACCCTTCTCGCTTTCCTCCAGGTGCCGTCCGGTCTCTGCGAGGCCGGTATGAATTGTTCGCCTTCAAATCAATGGTCATCTCCAACTTGAGTGAAAATTAATCTGCAAGCCCTTACCATTTTCAGTCACTATATTCGACATGTAACCAGTGGACATGTTGCGAAAAACTTTACCGGCGCAAACCAAAAACCTATTTCATAATTGGAAAAAGCACTGAAAACAAGTTTAAACAAAAAACTTTAACTTTCCCTTTTATTTAGGGCAAATGACAGACAAAAAAATTCGGAGAATTTTGACCACTTAACTCTTACGTTGGCGGCCTTGTCAAATGCATAGACCTCATAAAGTAAACGTGGACAAAGCGTAAGCGTATGACGTAATAAAAATTGTTTTTTTTATTGCATTAAAAATTATTTTTTTAATTGAGCATTATAAAAAGCAATGTGTAAAGTTCCTTACACAATTGTTAAATACAGAAATAAAATTGGTTCATGTAGCTGCTACGATTAGCATGTTGACACGCTTGGCATGTTGCTTCCTATCTTTTATTTTATTAAGTAAGTTCTTGAAATTAATATAAAACTTACAACTGAATCGTGTTTTCAGCTTGTGACACATCGCACATAGCAGTTGAAAACGAAAATTACTGTGGAAACATGTTGGCTCAATTCGTACGAATAGAACAAAGCCTGACTAATTTTTCGTCATATTTTCCGTTTTTTATGGACTACGCGGACCAAAACGACCGTTCTCCATTAAAACAGAAGAGGCAAGTTGACAGATATATCATGATTTTGTTCCATCTTGTTGGCAACTTAAGTAATCAAGTTCTGGATGCGATATTCAGCAGTCAGAAAGCTTTAAATGTTATCAAAAGGATTCTGTATATTCTAAAATTCGTCCCTCTGTGTTACTCGTCTTTAAATATTTTTTTAAAAATTGCATAACCCTGATTGATGTGGCGCAAAATAAAATATTAACACACATTACCATATTTTGTTTTTATTAAGGCATTTTAGTAATAATCCACGGTAGTCTACCAGTCTTTTTAAATTTGTAATAATCGTAAGCCAGTTTGCTCAAAATGAATATAATGAGCAGCGCCAAAATGGTGTTCAGAAGATCTAGCGCATCCTGAATCGAATACTCCGGCGGCGAGTGGCATACATCAACTCTCGTTAAGTCGACGACCTAAATAAAATGTCTAAATTAATTTTTTTTTCGCAGTGAAATGTGCCAACGGGTTATTTTTCATTGGGGAAAAGTAAAGGTTATCTGCATTTCATTGGTTCTATTGGTAAAATTCACCAGGATCATTCGGCCAAAGCCGGAATTTCTTATTAATAGGAATCTGTTTTGTATCTTTGATTTATTGCACATATGTAAGGAACAGACTCACCATTTTATTTGAGTTCGGATCCCCTTTAGCGGGGCCACATTTTATGTCCCGCAAATCTGTAATTTGGGGTGCATACTTTTGCAACATTTCCTAAACAATACAAAATTGACACGAATGTTATGACTTTATGTCGTAGTACCTGAAATGCGGGCGTAAACAAACAATCACATCTCCACGGATTTCGACCCAAGCTTATCCGTACAGCATCTGGCATATTGAGATTTCGCTGCAGAGCGTTATCGATAGCGTATGTCGGCAACTAGGAGTCAAAAAAATGTTACAAAAGTTGGCGAGGAAAGCCAGCTGTGATAGAAAAAATGCTTCACCCCATTGAATATAGCGAATATTATCTTACCTCTGTCAGTCTGTTGCCAGCCAGAGAAAATACTCGAAAATGCTTCAGATAAGTGGATCCCTCCAGCACATTTATGCAGTGTATGTTGTTATCGTCTAAATATAAATCTGACAATAGTTTGTATTTCAAATTTTCACGAATTGGGCTGAGATCTTCAATTTGATTCCCTTCCAGATGGAGGATTTTCGTTTTCAACGGAAACGTCTTCGGAAGCTCCGTAAAATTCCTATAGGAACAGTTTACCTCTATAATGGGCTCGAGCAGGCCCGTTTTCGGATCAGTTACGCATTTCAAAAGCCAGCACGAGCAATTTGCAGTGCACGTCTGCCGCGTTTCCTATCAATACAATACGTCAGACCATAGAATAATATTAGGAGACTTACCTTTTGTATTCTGGCGATTGCCAATACGGGTTTGTTGTTGTGCGGCATCTTAAAACAAATTAGTTTATCCAAGTCGCGAAAGACCGCGTGGTCGAGCTCGAGTAACCATTCCAAGTGCCCGGAGCAGTTCCATCTGTTGGCTAAAATGTTATTTAAGAACGCGCCATACATCGAAACTCTGCTTTTTTAAATTACCAGCTAAATAAACTTCTTTGATATCGGCAAACGGGAGTCTCGGCAGTTCCGTGAGGAAATTCGCCGATATGTTAAGCACCTCTAGATCCGGAAAATGGTCGAGGAAATGCTCGTTAAAGTGGGATATTTGTAAACCATTTAGTTGTAGGGCCTGAGTAAAACGAAGAAGAATTACCGTGAACTAACCAAAGTTGTTTATCTATGATTACGATCCAGAAAATATGTTCAAATGTAAAACATGCGCTCTTGTACCTTAATTTTGGTATTTTTGTGTGGCAAAACCATCTTTCCCAGGACGGTCCTGTTATTTCCGATAACGGAGAGGTTTTTCACGTTAGGGAACAAGTTGAGGAATACGTTGAAGTCCAAATGCGTCAAATCGACGTCGGATAAGCGTACGGATTCAACGTACGGACTGGATCCGTTCGTAGGTAACACGCGCTTGCAATTTATTTGCGTGTCTTCTAGCAGACAGTCTTCTGTTTTGCCGAGGACGGACACGAAGTTGGAGATCATAAACCTAAATATTTATATATAATATAAAATTATGACGGAATATAAATTGAATTGATTTCGGCACCAATAGTCTGTCGATATATATGATTCGTGGAAATGTAGTCGACGTAAAGGTTCAACTAGCTAATCGATTTAGGTCAGCGAGAGTTTTACTAGGAATATGTGGTAGGTGTATGTTATACACGAGCCGGGAGAAATTTGCATGCTCGCAGCGCATTTAATTAAAACTTTTAATTCATTCCCGGTTCTCTATAACGGAATAGAATAATTAAAATCCAGGCTTTTATCAGCTGAAAATTTAAAGTTTAAAGTTTAATTTAAAGTTTGAAAATTTAAATTTAAAAAATTATTGACTGAAAAACTACTCATCTTTCTTCGCTTTATTTCACAAACTAAGCAATAACTCAAAAGCTTTGTGACACCCTGTATATCTAGTAAATCTAGTTGTATTGTCGTAGCTTGTGGTTTCAACCGGTATTTTTTGTTTTTTAAAATGTCGTGGATAGTTATGGTTGGTCAGAATGGCCTGTTTTGGAGAAAAGTCATTTTAGTCTCGATTATTTTAGTTTGAGAAATGCAATAGTGACACCACTGGTTTCAAGATGAGGTCGAGTTGCGTTGGCGTTTGTTGCCATATTATCGGTGACGACCAGGTCTTAATGCTCGCAATCAACGTTACTAATGATTGAAAGGATTTGAGACCACTTTAAAGGGTAACTAATTATCCTCGAGGTGCTGCAAAAAAAGATCTCCATTTTGGACTAACAAAACCGTATATTTTTATAAAAATTGCGTCTATATAACTTTTGCTAATTGGGAATCCGGTTATGCAGGACCGCGTTGTTAATGGCTGTAGGGTTTGCATCCTTTAATGACGATTATATTTTCTCGTTGCCCAGATTCTCCGACCTTGTACTCGTTTCTCGATCAGATCTGCCGCGTTTATAGTATAATTATGTTTTCGCGAAACAAACGAGTTCCAAAAGTACCTCCCCAATGCATTTCTACATCTATGTACGTAGTTTAAAAGTAACGAAATTTAAAAAAAGAAACGAATATCTCCTACGATACAGCTTGTGAATTGTATCGAATGGACCATTATTTTATTTTTCTTTGTTGTATATCGTAGTGGGTTAATTTATCCATCCATTTAAATTTAACAATATTAGCACATGCTCATAATTTTTTTTTTCATGCTAAGTGATTCGGTACAGTATAAACAATAACTAGTTGATACTGTTTTGTTTTGCTGTTGTTTACTTGGCGTTAATAAAGTTAATGTTATGAATTGATTTATATCAGTACCAAATTATTTAACTCCTTTTTATTTTAATTTTTGAAAAAAGTAAATATACCAGTTTAAATAAATACTCGCAAAGTAAGTATGAGAATTCAAAAAGATTTTTAAATGCACAGTTGTTGTAATGCGGATCTTAAATGCAGATTTTATCTAACCAATGTTGTAACATGTACATATGTAGGTATGTATTTCGTGTTACGGATGAATAAATGATCTAAGCTAATGCGAACTTTTATTTTTGGCAAAAGTTGTAGATTATACAATCACTTTACACGGAAATTACCAAAAAACCCTATAGGTCTGTCTTTGTAAGATATTTTTATTGATTATTTGATTTTTTTGAAAAAACTTTTAGGACAGAGATAAAACTACTTACCACCACTCCAAATACGAAACCATTGTGGAGCCCTAACCGTCCACGAACTTCCGCTTTATTGAAACATTTGACACTTTCCATAGGTTTGATCCATAATAATAACAATAATAATAATAATCATCTATTTCGAGCACCCGTGGCCGGTCAGCAAATAAACTTTAACGGCGCTAAAGATGAAAGCAAACATGACGGTCGCCATTTCAATTAGTACGTTACATTTCGCGCGAGAATCACTTGACGGCTTATAATCTGCCGGGAGTGTTTTGCTTTTAAAAAAGCGCGCCAAATTCAATGGTCGTCCCTAACGTATGCAAAGAAACAAAATGCACGAATGACGTTAACGTAACGAATGCATTTCAAACGTAGGGAAGGCGATTGCATTGGAGCAGACGCGTGCCGATCTCAAAACGGCAAAAGTGGTCCGTGGACGCGCGAACTTGCCGATAAAAAGAATTCACAACTCGAATATGACCTGCCTCATCGGCATTCGCTGCAGGGGAAATAACTTCCTCAATTTAAATCGTTTCATTGTGTTTACAAAAACAGAAACGAGTGTCTATAAGCGATTTGCGTTCAGTGGGCAAATTTGCGCGTCATAATATTACGTGTATGGGCGTCAAAACGCCCAGACGTGTTCATATAAGGTAATTCCTTCGCCTAGACCTTTCAAATTGTCGCGCACATGATTGACAGGCGAAGACGCGAAGGGAATGGGTTCCGATAAATAACGCTGGCTTTGCAAGAGCGTCTAATTTAGCCGCAATCGAAACACAATTTATTTGGATTGCAATAGTAGATTATTTGCTTAGTATGCATCAAACGACCAGAATTTAATTACGGTCGACTGCGGAAACTGGATAATGAATACGAATTCCACAGAACGATGTCAATGTTTTTACGCTTAGTCGTGAATAAAATTTTAAGGCAGATTCAGTAAACTTGATTAGTTTATTTAACCACTGGCAGCTCTTTGAAAACGATTTAGTAAATAAAATGAATATAAATGTTGGAATTTTTGATTTTGAAAGGGCGCCATCTCTGGACGCGTAGCTAAAACAATATTTGGAGCAATTAGTTTGCTGCGCTTCTAATAGCTGGCGCAAGACCCGAACGTAGCTATTTGTAAATAAATACAAATTGCCCATCCTGGTTTTACAAAAGTATAAAGATTCAAACACACTCTCAGTTAAGATCTCAAAAATAATAAGGCTACACATTATTAAAAATTGATGAAAACGTTTTGGCTCTTATGATTTCTAATTTCTCCAGAAGGTCAAGATTACTCTGGGCGTTGGGTAAAATTATTGACAACTTTAGAAGGAGAAAAGTTATGCCCCGCGGACAAAGAAAGAGTAGCCATACCAGATTTCGTATCTAACACATGGAAATCTTCATGTCGATATAAACCGCATTACAATCTTCACAGTTCAAATAATGTACCCATGATCTAGAAAAATAATCTACCTTATCTTTAACTTTTATTAGACCCTGATTCAGAGTATTGTTTGCTTCAAAGGCTATATATAAATTCCTAGTCTTGAGATGAAATATTACCGAAAAAGGAATCTATCTGGAGGATTTCATTTTATTACGTAATATGTGTAGTCCATGAAATAAATACTACTTGTTTTTACATTCAAAGCTTTTAATAACTGAATGACCCAAGCCTAACTTTATCCTTTCGTGGGCCTCTAAAAGTAATATGAAACTAATAGTGTTTCCAATATGGGAACACGGGGTTGAGTCGTCGATAAAGAACGCGGACGGTATCGTTCTGTGTGAATAACGCGACGACACGTCGCTAAGATGATAAAAGGGTGCCGGTGGCATATGGCAATTTGGTATGTTGCATGTGTTGGCGAATTGGTATAGGAAGAATAAACAATATCGGGTTTTTTTAATGAAAGAAATTTTTTCAGAAAAGTAGCGAGCGCCCTCTCTGAAGGGATACCCTAAACTAAGGTTTGTTCTGTATTAGCGAGTGATGCGAAGACCATTTACTTAGGATTAGTTTGACACGATGCCAATAGATGGCCCCACCACGACCTAAAAAAAACTTTCTTACGCGTAGTATCTCAGAAACGCTATCGAATAGCAATTTTAAAAAAAATACAGACGATAAGCGCGGTGTCAGAGGGTTAGCCAAGTCGATTAAATGAGTGTTTTAAACAAACAGTTTCGTTATGCAACCATTCACTAATATCGTAACCATATTAGGTCTTAGATTTTCGCCGACAATGGCTGCACTGAGCTTCGCGGTTTTCATTTTAACGGTGTGCGTTTGCGCGGCCGATTCTTCCGAATCCTCGGAAGAACTGGACGCGTTGGTTAAAAACGAGAAAAGTGTTGCATTCGTCAAACAATTGGTGAGTCCACTTTTTGACGAGGGGATCGTGCAGACGTAGCGAGATTTTTGCAGTTGCACACTGAATACGAGGAAAACAAATTGGACACCTTGCTCACATGGGTGAACGAATTCCTCGAAGACAAGGACGAGGACATAAACGTCACCTTGGTCGCCGCACAAGACGTCTACGGAGACGACGGCGTCCTCAGGGAGATTCGCACTGTGGAACTGTTTCTGCCCAAATTGGTAAGTCTATACGCAATTCGCGCGATAGGATTTAATGAATGGATCTGGGGACGCAGTCAATGATCTTGAGCAACTGGTGTGTGTCATTTTCTTCCGTTAATTGCTGATGACCTTATTTTGATGTAGGTAAATTAGGATCCAGAATGTTTTCAAGCGTTGGTATATAATAACAGCTCACAAAAATTACTTTTTTCACATTTCTTGATGCGGTGGTTTGCTTTCGAGCCATATTTCTCTCATACTATGAAGCAACCGTAATAAAAAAAATTTTGCTCTACGTCTTTCCACCGTTGAATTCACTCTTTAAATTGTGTGATGTTATTTCGATAACATATTCAGAGTATGACAAGCGTCTAGCGATGTTTTGTATTGCGTACGATGACGTAGAAGACCGGGGACAGATTGCAGCTGACCAATAACGACGATGACGACGACGATACGTCTGTGCACGAAATCAGGCGAAACTTCGACGCTTTAGCCAAACTCGGGTTTGACAACGAAATAAGCAGCGTCGTTTACGAGAAAAACGGAGATGTCGTAGAGGCGATGTACCTCGACGCGAGCCAAATGGTAAATAACAAAAACTATAACCTAAAAAATTGTTCTATACTGACCATTTTGTATTCCCAGTACGTGTTCGAGGATGGCATCCATTATTCGAACCGAAGCCGCGTCGTAATTACCCAGAATGACCTCGAGGCCGTCATTAAGGTCCTGCAACAACGCAACGAACTCGTTTCCGTGATAAATTTCGACGCTAATGGAAAATACGTGGATGAAGGATCGGAAGTCGTTCCTGAACTTCTCGTAAGTCCGAATTAGGGGTGTCAGAACGTTTTTGTGACAAAAATAATTTGATCAAATTAAGCGTGCTCGCTCTATGACAGGATATACATGTACGGGGTGTTATTCAATAAGTGTTCGATATTTAACAGACCGGTTTCTCAAAATAAGATTTACCATTTATTTTTATTTTTTTCTGCACAATTTCCCAAATAATTTCTGAACGAAAAGGGCGACCTGGAGATTTTTTGACAGAAGAATAATGAGAAAATTGAATTTGTTGTTAATTTAGTTGTGGAGCTATACCCTACATCCTTTCTCATTTCCGAAGCTTCGCGATTTTTTCTACGACCTTGTATTATATTTTTGGTATAAAAACCGAATTACTTCCATTAGAAGTCGCTAGGAGCGACCTTTTTTGAAATATTCTGCATTGAAGTATTCGATGCGGGTTTTTAGAAAAGTGCAATGATTCTAACAAGGAAATAGATCAACTAGGCTGGTTTATTCATGTAAAAATATAAAAAAACATTATCAATTCTATTATGTACGTAGTTTGCACATGACAATACAAACAATACGAAGAAACGTTGAATAAATTTACTAGTCTATTTGAACTTTTTTATTACAAATGTTTCACTTTAAAAATACGGTTAGTCCTGGAGGCTTCACTTAAACATTATTGAGGTAGGTAGCGCCCCATTCAAATAAGCGCTATTCATGTCCTCCCAGGTACCGATCTTCATTAAGCAATCGGCCTGGTTTAGGAAATTATGTGTAAAAACCAAAAATATTAAACACTTATTAAATAACATCCTGCATACTATTTCAAATTCTTCTGGATTGCTCCTGCGTCGAACTTGCCAATAACCCTTTTGCCCGGTTCAGAGCTTAACTGACTCATTTTTTTCTCGGCAACCGTTATTATTATATACAGTGAAACCTCTCAATACGGACACTCCTCTTAAACGGACATGTTATTTGGAACGAAATATTTGCCTACCCCTTTACCTTTTTCCTAATTCCATAGGGGAATTATCTTTTTCATTTTTCATCATATCATATCGTACTATTCATTACGCCGTGACTTGCAGTTTTATTTTCCAAACAAATGACATAAGTGAATTCCACAATTTTTAAATTGGCACCTACTAAAAACTTCTTACTTTGCGATAAAAAATGGAAATTGATAACGTATATTGATAAATTGTGAAAAATAAGGACAGCATTCGTGTACAGTGGGGAAGCAATATTGATCAAAAAAGAAATTTTGTAAAAACTGAGGGACTTCAAATTGACAAAGTGTGTTTTGATTGATGGCTGAAAAAGTGGCGCAAGGGACATGCGATAAGTTTTAAGTGTATCTCCGGAGAATCAGCATATGTGAGTCAAGCCGGTTTTCAAAAAAATAATGATTTTTCTACATCAATGGAATGGGATCCCACTATCTACGATACTTGAAATGGAACGATGTGTTAGAGAAATGAACATAACGCAAGAAACTCTTGGAAACTATGTTGGAATCGACAATAGAGACTAGTTTGAACATTGAAGATACAATTGAAAACATGAAAGAACCTGAAGCGGAAGAAGGCAGCGATCAAGAATACTCGAGGAAACGTGGGAAATTAGTGGGGAACCTAGCACAATTAATAGCTATAATGACGCCTTAAAAATAGTTACCGATCTAAAAGTTTTTGCATTTCGACACCTTAAAAATCATTTTCAGTCAGGTTTGCTGAAGCAAAAAACAATAAATATACGTCCGACTAGTATCTTAGAGTTTGTGAGCAATTAATGAAAGTTGATTCACCAACATTTTTTTCTATAGTTTTTTGTATGTTTTTAAAAAAATAAACGTAATGCACATTTACGATTTACGTTGTTTTTTTTTCATGCACCTCTAATGACCCTACAAAACTAGAGGAACCGTGATGTCCGGTTATGGGAGTTTTCACTGTAAAAACTTTTAACGAAGTCATTGTTAAATTAGGATGATTTTTTTTATTTTTTAAATTACATTAACTCAATACATAATCGTATAAAATTCAACGAGATTGAATAGGATAACTCTATTAATTTTTTTGACTTAACTATTACGAAAGTGCAAAACAAATTAGATTTTTCAATATATCATAAACCTTCACACACGGACACAGTCATACATAACGGTTCAAATCACCCTTATACACACAAAATGGCTGCATTTAACTCTTTTATACACAGACTTCTTAATACGCCACTCTCAACAGAAAATTACAACAAAGAACTTAATAGCACTGAACAACGGCTACAATCCGTCCATTATAGATAAAATTATAAATAAAAAACAAATACAGACAACAGTAAACTCTATTTATCCGAAACCAAATACAGAACACGAACATTTTAAAACAATTACATACATAGCGGAACCTAGTGAAAAAGTTTCGAAACATTTGTCAAAATGTGGTTTAAAAATAGCTTTCAGAACTAACAACACAATAGGACAATATTTAAAAAACAATAAATCGAAATGTCCAAAACCCCAAAAATCAGGTGTCTACAGGTTGAAATGTGGATCTTGTCCTAAAATTTATATTGGACAAACAGGTAGATCCTTCAAGAAACGCATTAACGAACATATAAGAGCGTTTAAAAACAATAGTCTAGATTCTAATTATGCCACACACTTAAACACAGAAAAACACATTTTTGACGACAATTTTGATATATTACACACAGCCACAAAAAGTAGAAACATTAATTAAGGTTTTATGGTCATTTTTCGGAATATATAGTAGCAGGTAGTTTGTAAATAATACATTTGATAAAGACGCGGTGTTGTCGAAACAATTGTCATGTCATAATACATAATTTCGTGAAAATCTGAACTTTCAGTTCTTATTTATTTTGATAAATGGATTTTCATCAAGTAAAAGCCACCTCAGTTCAATGAAGTTTTTTCTTAAAAAAAAACATGAGTTGTTTTTGGGTTTATAAACCCAATATGGCGGAAAAAAATTAAAAAGGCGAAAAGTTGCTATCATCATCGTTGATTTTCTGCGAATTTCTTAAATGAGGGAAGAATGACCGAATTTTGAAAGTTCCTCAACGTGCCTTTTTTGCGCCATAACGCATGGGGGAATTTTATTTGATTCTTGTAGGCTTACGTGATCGACGAAGAAGGCGACGTGGGCAACGACATGTTGCAACAGGCCCTGCGCGGCGTCGCCGAAGCGTCGCTCGTCGATCCGGACCGTCCGCGGGCAGTTTGCGCCCGTCTAGTTGCCTCTATGGAGGCGAGATTCCCAGACATGAAGTTCCACGTATTCTACGAAGAGCCCAACGCTTATTACGTTAACAAGGACATCGTGATCAAAGTGGGCTACGGACTCAAGGACGTAGACGTGTCGGATGACGTTTATACCATTTTTGGGATTAAGAACTCGTAAAGAATAAAGTTTAAGTTGCGAGGAAGGGGTGTGATTTCATTTATTATTTTCGAAAATCGATGAAATCGAATTTTCGAAAGTATCTGCGCTCGTATAAAAATCTCTGTAACGGTAGATCCTATGGGATCGCCGATGATACAGAAATGATTACCGTCGAAAAAAAAATTTTGTTTTGTCTGTCCGTTCTCCGTTCTCGTCTGGTTTTTCCTGAATAACTTTCGAACCGTTGGAGCTTCAAAATTAAAATTTGCCCTTTTTTTAACCCTCCACGAGGCACATAAGCTTGTAAGAAATGGACCTGATCCGACGCCGGTATCCATAATTTTTTCGCGATTTTCCACTGTTTTTTGAACCTTGCTATGAAACATGTAAGTGTCCGAAATTTGAAGCAATCGACTTCATATTTGGCACATATATGCAGCTTTGCCCGGTGGCGGAACCTATTCAAAGTGGGGGGCTGGGGGGTCGGGAAGTATTTTACAAAAATAAAAAATCGCGCGTGTAAGGGTCTACAAAAAACATTTTTCTAAAACTGTTTACGACACCAACAAAATTCTTGAACCAGAAGAAGCAGAAGATACGGCTCGATAAACTTTTATTCGTGACAATTTTTCAAAAATATACAGGGTGCGCCGCAAATTTAAAAAAACTGAAAAATGGGTCCCCCTATTATTGAAAATTGGTTATAAAAGACAGAAAAAACGTTTGTATTTAAGGTTTTCATCTATTGTACAGGGTGTTCCCGTGCTAAATGAAAAATGTGTTAGGTGTGCTAAATTTGCAGATATCAACTTCAAATTTAGCAGAGGAGTAAAAGTCCGTGTCCACATTTAAACGGTAGAAATTGGGCGCAATCCAATTTTACCAAGTATTTTTTAAAAATGTTTGAAAATTTTTTTCTGGTCATTTTAGCTTCCAGAAAAATATGTTTTCCTCCATAATCATTCATCCGTTCGGTAAAATTCTTTAACCGGCAGACGCAGAAGATCCAGTGGAGTAACATTTATTTCGGGCATTTTTTCGATTATATGAAGGGAAAAATTATATTCAAAAATCTAAAAGAAATAGAAAATAGTTTTTTTACCGAGTAAATAATTAGCCGCAAATCAAAAATTTAAAAAAGTATGGCTAATTGATTCAAACGGTGTCATAGGCCGGATCAAGACCTACAATTTTCGTAGTTTTTGAGAAAATTCAGTTCCCCTTTTGATAATTGATCATAAGTAGAAGGTTCTGTTTTAGTTGTCAGTTTCTTTTACATAGTTTTAATATAGTCCGTATAGACAACTAAAACTTTTGTATTGAACGTTTTTGAATATTGTACAGGGTGTTCGGGATATTCTATGGTATATTCCGAAACAGAATAGGTGTGTCAAATTTGCAGCTATCGACTTCAATTTTATCACAAAGTTAAAAGTCCATGCGCACTTCTTAACCCTAGAAATTAGACGCAGTCATGTATCTCCAAGCATTTAAAAAATATATTTTTTTTGGTTATTTTGACGTCCAGAAAAAAAACATTTTCTCTAAAACCAGCACTACAACTTTTATATCAGGAATTTTTTCGATTATATACAGGGTTTTTCAATTATAGACAAAAATCTAAACGACCCTGAAAATTGTTCTTTTCCACAGTAAATTATTTGCCGTAATTAAATATTCATAAAAAATATGACTAACTGCTTTACACAGTATTATAGACCACATCGAGAACTAAAATTTTTGTTTTTACGGGTTTCGTTTACCATATACGCCCGCTCGAGATATTTAAAAAAATCCTTATAAAAATTGCTACTTCTAGCACTCAATTTAGACGCGATGACTTCATTCACTATTACGGCGTACTGCACAGTTTCAGAAAAGAATTATTGTCTTGAAAACCAATACTCTATTGGAAGAATTGATATAACTACCAAAAAACGTAGGAGATCCAGGGCCATAACCTCTATTCGTTTATGGGCAAAAAATTCTAAAAGATCCTAAAAGCTTCCGTTTTTGTGGGTAAATTATTGGCGATAAATGAAAAACTGTTAATTTGATTGGAGCGGTATCGTAAACTATGTGGAGAGCAAGTTTTAAATTTCGTCTGTCATAGAGGGCGCGCGAGATATTTTAAAAAATATCGCAATTATTTGTACAAATTCTAATATTTACCAAAGTTTGCCTTTGAAGTTCAGCGAGACGTTTAAGACTGTTTATACAGGGTGTATGTACAATAAAATTACATGGTTTTTGCGAAAGTTCCACATTGGGCCATAGGAGCACGATAGAAAAACAATGCGTCCCTCTAGGACGCGCTACGAATGTATCTCGCCCACCGACGAGTCTTCGGAAGAAATCTAGTATCGTTACGCAGGGTATTTCGAAAAATAACGAAACAACGAATGGAAAAATTAGTGTAGACTTTGTTAATAAATATTATTTGAGAATTGTCCGCTTCAGCTACGTAAACATGAGCTTCTGGAATATTGAGAAAATATGCTTAATTTTATTCGTACCAAAATTGAAGTAGGTACTCATTGTTAAGTAGGTACTTCGAAAAATAGCAGGTGCTCTGATGTTAAGCATCTCCTTAATCATTTTCTTTATACCAAATAATGAACCTACTCCAAAATTTTAAGTAAGGGAGTAGGTATACTTAGACCAGAAATATAGTGTTTTACAACGAACCCCGTGATTAACTTTGCCTACTGTTTATTACTTCAATGTTTTCAATCTTTTCGCCGAGCAATTCTTGAAACATGTACATAACAAAATTAGAACAAAGTAACAATTTATTATCATTATGAATATACAAAAAATTAAATATAATAATAAAAAAAATAAAAAATCGTTACTTTCGCTATTGTCGTCACTTAATTCAATGATCAACTCGGCAACTAATGATTCTCGATAAATATTTACTTCTCTATTACTTGTTTTTCACAGTTAGACTAGCTTTGTGCTGATATATTAGCTACCGCGTGCCGAATTACGTTCATGGTACTATCACTAAATGTCGGTGCAGTGTTATTTCTTCTTATATGCGCTTTCAACTTATACCAAATCATCTCAGTTGGGTTAAATACACAATGATACAGGGGTAATCTCAAGATTTCATGTCAGTTTTGTTGTGCTATCGGATCTATTTTGTAGTCTTCATTGAAATGTTTTGTTTTTAATAATTCCAGAAGTTGTTTTTTCGTGAAGCTCTCTTCAAAATATAAATCATTTTCGTACAGAAATTCTTTAATTTCTTCTTTATTTGAAGAAGTATTTGGAATTTTTCTAATTTGGGCTGAATCATATGAGGTATTATCCAACACAATAACAGTATTTGGTGATAGTAATATTCCCGCGGTCATAATTTCATGGTAATCTGCACTTAAATCTTTGAGGTTTTTGGCAGACTAAAATAAGCATCTTCCACCCAATCATTTTTGGACCCAGCATAAAGAATTATTATTCCATTGTAAAATTCTTTAAGATTCTATTAACACTTGACGTTGACGAAAATCCATTTTCTTCAAAAATGTACGTAACGACTTTTTGACGTACTTTTATCTACCGCGAATATAATCTATAGTCTTAAAAAGGACTGTTGTTTTTTACAAATCGAAGAACCATATAGAAGACACAAAAATACAAGAAGAATGTTGTTAATCGACAGGCACACAAGACAAAAATGATTAATTTCAAACTTACCCTCACTCTTTGAACTATCCAGTGAAAACAGCCTCGCATGTACTTACTGGAAAGATCACAGTCATATACCTCCGTAATATATAGCAATATATTCCAATTTAGATTACACTCTTAAGAACCATACATCACCTGATGTTAAAATAAACGCTTCTACTTACATTTACGTTTCAAAGAAAAATTTCAAGCTTCTACAAATATTTGTTACGGCCCATCTCAGGAAAAGACCTACTTAATGCAGAATAAACATCTGTTGGGAAAGGTTTTACCACGGTCCTGCGAAGGTCTGCGATTAAGGTACTGTAAAATACTTGAAACGTCTAAGCAATAAATGCACTATATTTTTGGTTGTACAATACTTATCAAATCAAATTTATAACTGCTTTGAGCATCCTAAACAGGTAAATTAAAATTATTGGAGGAACTGTAAGTATATGCTTAATTTTACTACTAACTGTTAAGTAGGTAGGTATGGTGACTGGAATCTCTAGAAAAAATTAGGATTTACAGAGAACAACAAAGGCCAATTATTTACTTGGATGAAACCTGGTTCGACACTTATGATACCTCGGAAAAGGGTTGGGTTGACTCAACGGATAAGTGTAAAACAAACGCGCCATCAAAAAGAGGTAAAAGATTAACTATTTTGCATGCTGGCTCTAAAGATGGTTGGATTCCAAACGGACTTTCTCTGACTGCGAAAAATATTAAAGATTCTTCTCTGGATTATCATGAAGACACCACCGCTGATTTATTTGAAAGTTGGTTTAAAAACAAACTAGTTCCAAACATTCCTCCTAATAGCGTCATTGTAATGGAAAATGTAAGTTATCCCAGTAGACAGTTGACTAACAACAACAAAAGGAATACGTCTGTGATAATTATGGAAAAAATATAGGGCATACAGTTTCAAGGCTTCCACCTAACCACAGTATATTTAATCACATTGAACATGTTTGGCACCAACTGAAATCTGCCATTCGTCGTAACAATGTTTTTCACCGTGTTAACTTATAGAAATCGAAGTTTTTAATATCCCTCCACAAAGTTGGGCTAATTCTGTTAAACATATAGAAAAAGCAGAACAATCGTATATCCGTATTGCAAATAATATAGAACAAATAATAATTAGATCATGCGATGATAGCGATAGTGATCCTGATGTATTATGTGAATAATTTTAAGTAATTTAAGTAGGTAATAAAAATAATTTGTAATTTTATTTTACATTTCAATATAAATGCATACATAAATAAATAAATATTGTTTAGTATCTTTCCTAACAAAACCCCAAATAATTAAATTCTAAGCAAAGTACGAACCTGTTCGGCCATATTTCATTCTTACAGCTTGTCCGGGTCTTTCCTTAATTCGTATCAGTTAGTCAATTTCTTATATCTATGAACAGACTTTACAAATACCAGGTGCTCTATTGTTAAGCATCTCCTTCATCATTTTATTCATCCCAAATGACGAACTTACTCCAACATTTTAAGTAAGAAGTGGATACTTAATTTTATTCATAGCAAAGAATGTGAACGGATCTGCAAATGTGGATGCAAAACTACATCAAATAATAAATCTTGAGCGTACTGCGAATTGTGCGCGTAGTGGAAATTCGCCTTTATCGCACGTGCGTGTCTCATTGGCGCTTTAGTTCGCAGGGAACCGCGTGCGCGCGCGTTCCCTTGCGAAATATTTTTTATCGCACCGGACAAAACATCCGAATCGCCCCCTCCCTCCTTGACTAAACCGCGAGAAAAAATCGCAGTCGCCTAGTGCGGCGCAAACCGCGATTAAAGAGCGCTCCTTATCGTGGAAAGACGAACGGGGGGCGCGGCGGTTAACGAATTTTTCAGCGGCCCGCGCGCGGATATTGGCCGACCGCAAGCCACGCCCCTCGCCGCCGCCCATCGCGTTTAACCACGGGTGACGTTAAGTCGACAATCGCGTGACGTACACGCTGAACGCGATAGTGTGCCTTATGCGAGATGGTCGTAGGAATGCAGGCGGCCGTGGAACCGGCCTACCGCTTTGTTCCGTTCGAACCGTCTCTTTCTATCGCGCGTCCGATTCCGAACGGGAAGGATAACCGCGGCGTTCTTGATTCTCGTGAGGTCGCGTCGCGCGTAGTCTGTCGCGTTCCTTCGAGTCGGCCGATCGTAGAGTACGCGAGCTCACGGACCGGAAGTGACGCCGACGCGGGAAAAGTTTGACATTTGACGTTCGACTGTGTTTTTTTTTGTGGCGTTTTTGCCGCGCGGGAACCGCCTCGATCGGATTTCGACGGGAGCGACGAGTAAGTACTAGGACGCGTGATTCATCCGTGTCGTCACGCGCGGTGACGAATCCAGATCTCGAGATCTAGGGGGGAAGGCGGGTGCTTTTTCTTGCGGTTTCGCGGACGGGGGGCTAAACTCGTCGCGGTTTTCGGGCCGATCGGGTTGTTAAAAATCGGTGCGTGTCAGGTTCGATTCGCATGAATTTTCTCCACGACGCAGGGACAACCTCAAGGCCGCGCGACGTCTGTAAAAACCCACGGCATATTAAGCTCCGGCCAGTGTAAACAGCTCGGTTCCGTGAAAGTTGTATAATGCGCTTGCCGTTGCGATTGAAATTAACTCGTCGTCAGGGTACCAAAACGTTTTTTTCTTGCTCCCCAACTCATCGTTTGACGAACAGTCTGAAAAATCCTCACTATTGTTTCTTGGTACGCGCAAGGGTGTGGTTAAAGAAAAACTTTAATCTAAACACTCATTGAGGAATTCGAGGCTGCTGATCAGGGTTGGGCTGATTTTAATCAAATGATTTAAATCAAACTCCTTTTGTTTAAAATCTTTATTAGGCACAATATAAAATATTAATGCAATTTTAACTTTTTCGATTTGAACTTTTCTATAAAAAATACCAATAATTTCTAGAGGTGACCCATTTATACCCCAAAACCCTCTTCATCTGAATCAACTTGGGATCGCGTTTCCAAAGGCAAAAAATTTTCCTTAATCAAACTAATAGGTGATCCTGAATCTAACATAGCAGTCAAGATGTACTTACAATATTCGCCTTCCTTATCAACTAACTCAAATCTCATGGGAACAATGTACGGCAATTGGTGAGCAGGCTGAAGCACATTCGCAGACACTGTAGGTCGTGGCTCGTCCCTTGAACCTCTACATTGTTGTCCTCGTCGGGGGCACTCATTCATTTTATGCGATGTTGCTCCACACTCAAAACACGCACCAAAGGGTCGTTTCGGCTTTGCACACTTGGTGGAAATGTGGCCAGTTTCTTGACAATTAATACATCTGGCGGTTTCAAAGCTGAGAGAAGAGGTGGGGCTGTTATTTTTTCAAATGCTTCTAGCAAATCTCCACCTGACCGGAAACGTAAAATACGGGCTTAGTCTCGAAGATGTCGATTCGAAATCCCATCGATAATATAGTCAACCAATTCTTGCTCGTCGATTGGCACCTGATTTCCTAAAATTACCTTATCATGGTAATGGTCAGTGAATCGTTACCCGGCTTTCCACATTCGATTTTCAAAATCTCTTCTCAGTAGCAACTTACTCGGACGATGCTTGAACATTTGTTCCATGGTTTCTAGTAGGGTGTTGATATCCATAGTCAGGTGAGTTGGTTTCGAATGGAATCAAGACAAGTCTCCTTTCAATTTAGAACTGATCAAAACGCGAGCGGTATTATCTTCAAATTGATAAGATGCCCGCAGAAGTTGCCCTTGCTGTTCCCATTTTTCAAAATCATAATAAGTCACCCATTGCTCGTATACTTATCTGATTGGCCGGCCCGGAGCTAGAAAGGCTTAAAGCTCTATCAGGAGTCTCACGAGAATTCATCAACTCCTGGTCCCGTCGGAGAAGTTAAACTTTCCTTCGCACCAATTCTTGTTCACGCCTCAATATGTCCAATTCCTGTTGAGCTAATCTATTAGCAAAATCTTCCTCTGTCCCCTAGCCGCCAATTGTTCTTCCTTTTTTCGCTTTTCTTGAACCAAATCTTGCCAAACATTATCGGACAATTTTTGCAATCTGTCAATAAGCTCGGCTTTACTGCCCGTCACCGGCAAATTTCGGAACCTCAAAAAATAATGCTCGTTTTGTTTTTTTTTTGCACAATAATTGACGTCACTACTCCACAAACAATTTTTCAAACAATGCAAAATTCCAAACAATCCTGCCCTGCACCGCGCTGCCGATATACAAGGAAATTCAATAGGTAATGTCTGTTCATAGATATAAGAAAGTGACTAACTGATACGAATTAAGGAAAGACCCGGGCAAGCTGTAAGAATGAAATATGGCCGAACAGGTCCGTACTTTGCTTAGAATTTAATTATTTGGGGTTTTGTTAGGAAAGATACTAAACAATATTTATTTATTTATGTATGTATTTATGTTTAAATCTAAAATAAAATTACAAACATTGTTACGACGAATGGCAGATTTCAGTTGGTGCCAAACATGTTCAACTTTATTTCTAATGGCAAGAGTCCAATATTTCCATATAAATTATTAATTGTTTCTAAAGTCAGATTCTTTTCTTCGGGTGTTAACTCATATTTTTGCTTTTGAGGGTCCAACATATAAGCTATAAAATGATACGGCGTGAGTGCCTGCTTATATCGAGCCTGAATTTTTTGAAGATATATTGTAAATGAGATAGAAGCGATTTTTCTCTGCAAATTGTCAAGAGCATTGGCTTTAATAACTTTTAATAACATGTCCCACTGAGTGACGTACATCTATAAACAATCGGCAACGCTATTCCATCCCACATCACTTGATACGACTAAAGCGTTGCGTCCAGCTTGACTAAATTTCGCACTAGCTAGTATGCACTAGCGCAAAAATAGTTAGCAATTTAGACTGCATGTTCTTTGAGGTCTTATATTTGTAAATCTTTGCACAGTTAATTTAAAATATATGCAGAGCAGCCATATGTTATAACTTTTCAGCCCGTCTTTTCCTCCAAAGGTTTTCTCATGACGGCCATATTTGCTGTGTTTTCTGTCACAAAAGATTATACCTCGCAGTCATATCGCGAAGTATCAATTGTTTCGTAAAAAAGCGCTCGTCCATCTTCAGTTGTTATTCTTGCACATGTAACTGGCACATTGTGGACTTTCGACCACCCGTAATGGACATATTCGCACATTGTCCTGACAGAGAACAAAGGCATTTTGCCTTTTCCTCCTCATACATGTCATCTAAAACGCTTTTCTTGATGACGGAGTATAACCGGGTCGAAATGAGTAAATAGTTTTTTTTACTTCAGCTATATTCTTTGTTTGAACCTCTTTTGTCATCCGAGACAGTCTTTATGCCCCTCATTTAGCTCCTCCCCTATCAAACAATATAAAAGCAGGTACAGAGTAAAATGCGAGTCAGTTTCAATCAAGCTCTGAAGAAACCAACACGATGTTCGGCGAAACGTTAGCTAGTTCGAGTCAACAAAAACCAACGCAGGAGGAATCCAGAAGTTCTATAGTGTTTTGTTGTTTATAAACAATTTGCAAAAAACACCACTTTGCTTCACAACTTTTCTTGGGACATGTTTTAAATTTTCCGCTAAAATCTAAAAGCGAAAAACCTAGAAGTTAAAGCGTGTCTAAGATATTCATTTTGGTAAAATGTCACTGCACAAAAAATGGATTGTTGCAGATCCCACGGCATCGATCTCCAGCTAAGCGATGAGGCGCCGCCCATCAGCGTCGATCGTCTCAGCTTCCGATAGATCCAACAGTTTTGACGCTTAAAACCCGCATCTATCACCATCACTAAAAGTAGACCCAATGCATCTACCTGTCACCAGTTGCAACATCTCGGAAGACGCGTGGCCGCGGTCCGCGATGTGCGAACATCCCTCCACCGCAGCGTACACTTCCTCGGGCAATCTGGACTTGTCCTGGTTCGAGCACCGGATCCACGAGATCCAGGCCGAACATCCAGGCGAGTTGGTCAGGACCGGCAGTCCTTATATCTTGTGTTCCGCGTTGCCGACCCATTGGAGGTCAAACAAAACCCTGCCGGCGGGGTTCAAAGTCGTCGCCGTGGGCGACGTCGGGGACGGCACCGTCGTGACCGTCAGGGCCGGAAACGACGAGAACTATTGTGCGGAGTTGCGGAACTGCACGGCCGTCATGAAGAACCAGGTGGCGAAGTTTAACGATTTGAGGTTCGTCGGGAGGAGCGGAAGGGGTAAGTTCGTCAACATTTTCCTCAGGCGGGTATTATTACCGATAAGATCTTAAAATAATTAAACCTAAATTTACAATTTACATGGCTGTCGCTTTGCTTTGCCAAGCCGCTTGTAATATTTTCTAATCTATGTCTCCAAATAGTCCCTCAACAACTCGGATTTACCACCATTAACAATTACCTGTATTTCTGAAGCTATCGATCAAACAAAATTCGGATACATAAGCTTCGTACTTTGGGATTTTCTGAATCGTTTGTTAATTTGTAGTACGTCTATCTCTGTGATCACAGTTCCGATGAATATGTTGTTTCCTCAGGCGTTTCTCATGACTCACTACTGGGGTCATTATTGGTCGTTAATGACATTGGTAAAAATTTTGATGTCTCTCTTGTATGCTGTCTAAATAATAATTTGCAGCTCAATACTCAAAACTACCCTTTGTCCCCTCATGTTAATAAAGCGTTGGTAGATGCCTCAAAAACCTAGGAATTTATCGTACGTTGCACTAGAGACTTTAACAACAGAAATAATAAATATATTATTCAACTCAAAGTTACAGTATGCATGAGTATTTGGGTCTGCTGTATCCTCAGTATTCTGAGTATATTCCCCACAAATGGATTTGATTATGAGTATCTTAGTGATCGCTATGTGCACATCATTCAATGATATTTAAAATTTTAAATAACTTGTTTGTTTGCTATGCTCATTGGTAATTTTGTTATGAGTAGAGATGCAAAGTCGGTTAAATTAGCGAAGTAGTAGTATTTTTTCGACTGATTACTGTGGTGGAAACAGATAAACAGCTGAATGTAGGATTTATGAAATAGTTTTTACTCTAAAGTTCATAAATCAGCAACAGAACAAAAAAGGTCATATGCAAAAGTGATGATCAGCAAATTTCTCTTTTAGACTGGATGGCTGAGTGGTCTCGAAATAAAACTCCATTTTCCTTTTATTTTTTTATTTGAGCGTAAGAAACATGGAAATAAGAACATAGAAAAAATAGAAAAAAATCTGAGTAATTTGAATGAATTTATCAGCTTTATTTTTTCTTTTATTGCAGCCTTTAAAACGTCAAAGTGTTGGTATAGTTCCTTATAAATTTCGTCCTTTAAATAACTCCGCAAGATAAAATCAAAATGGTTGTCAAAAATTGATGTGTCTCGGAAGTTATGAGCCGGTGCGTCATCTTGTTGGAAAGGGAGATTCTGCCTACTTACAAGGTCAAGCTTATCTCTCAAACTCAAACGGCCAGCGTGCCATCGTATAAATATGGACCAACAATGCGAGAACCAATCAGAAAGCTAAAACGCACTTGTGGACATGGGGGATGTACTGTGCAAATTTTTTGCTTTTTTCCTAAACCCTATGTTCTATAGTTTTTCTGATTTCAAAATCGCAATCAGTGGAAAAAGACTACTAGTTTGTTGATTTAACCGACTTTGTACTTTTACTCAAAGTTACCAATGATGAACACTTTTTAGATCAGCCGGTATAGACTAAATTTCTTTGTTCCCCGTATAAACTCTAGACCTAGTTTCTGTCCACGCCAAGATCAAATATTTTCAAATTTTCAGTTATTTTCTCCAAATACAATGTTCGATCCGATTTGGACGTGACACAGTTAAAAATTTATAAATTTCCGTCTTTTTTTATTATAGTTAATGCCTTTGTTAAGTTAGATTTTAGTTTGTTACATGATGTAATTATTCGATCAATTGCCTCTGTAATACTATTTTGTTCCGGAACCTACCTGTTAGTTGGGATACATGCCTGTTAGGTAGTTTTAAATAAATAAATAAATAATATTTAATGAATTTAATCTAAATTACAATGGAGGCAAAATAAATAAGAACTAAAAGTTTAGATTCTCACGAACTTATATATTTTGACATGACAATTGTTTCGACAATACCGTGTCTTTATCAAATGTTTTCATTTCGTGTAAATCTGAACGTTTACTGCTTATTTATTTTGATAAATGGATTTTCATCAAGCGAAAGCCACATCAGTCCAATTTTTACAATGGAGGCAGTGAAATTCCAGTGAAAATCAGCGTGTTCGCTCGTTTTCCTGGTGAAAATGCGTCAATTGCAATTATCAACCAAAAACTTCAGTTTCTGCTGAAGTTCGTATAAATTATCACAGTAAATGTGTGATATTCAACTTTTTCAGGATTTTTTGTAGTGTAGTAAAATACGTCCTTTTAAATGTGTCGTCTGTCAATGGTCAATAGTTTTCTGCGGAATTTTATGTAATAAATTCTTGACGGTTGACTCCCCAAATTTCCCTTGGTTTAGGGTTATATCAATAAGTATCGCCTCTGAACTATGAAAGGCACCTTCATTTTTGGAAATAATCAAAATCTGCTATCAATATGGCTACATGACAGGTATGCTACTGGTATGTCTCTTGGCAACGTTGACGATGCGGCAATGGTTGTGTTACACCCGAAAGTGTATACCGAGAAATTTCGATCGTTGTTTGAAGTTTCGAGAACCATCAGAATAAGTCACGGTAGATAGTTGTTTACAAAAGGCTTAATATAAGATCAATCGAGCCTTCCTTCGCGTCGGAATGTATCACTTTGGTCATCGGGCGTGGTAAATTGCTGTTCCCCCTTATTTTTTTTTGTTTCGTAAATTCACGGAATCAAAATAACTTGTAAAACTTTTTCCTCTGCCAAAACAAAAGCTCGATATATTGTCCAGAATATTTTGTTCTAGTTTTACTAATTAGCGTTCACAGACTGAAATACAAGTAATAACAATTAAAGCAAATTTAGTAAATATCTACCTAGAACTTTCGCAAATCTTTTTTAGCAATATTTTTTAAAAATATTAGAGACGAACGACCGCCGTATTTTGGATACTACAAGCACAAGCTTATATATAGGCTATTTTTGTACCCTTTCATTTGTTAAAAAAAGGTAAGATAATTGATTACTTAAGTCTGGACCCTAGTAAATAGTAATAGCACTTTATTTCCAAGTGGAAACATGACCTAATTACAGGAAACATTAAATATAAATCACAGTATATATACACAGGGGACGTAAAAACTAATCTTAAATCTACTAATCTTATAACTAAAAAAAAAAGTAGAAAGAAAAGACTTGGTAGTACGGATAATCAGCCAATCGAAGTTCCGAAGTATCGCCTGGAGACCATCATAATATAAATCGCATTGCGACGACAGTTTGTTGAAGGTAACTCATATAATGTAAATAAGGTTTTGAAAATGGATATTGGACCTGGGTAACTGCTGTAAGAAAGTTGATTGATGTCCGCCTTCCAGCCGCAGCACATGAAAAAGTAATTGTTCCAGACGAACAATGGACTCCGTAATGAACTAACTTGTAGAGCAAGCAATTAAACATATTACAAGCAGAAGATCATGATCAACTCCCCTCTCAGGCAGTTATATATTGGTGACCATACCAGCGAGCCATAGTCAAGCTTGGACCTAACGTAACAGTTAAATAACAATTTAACAGTAGCTGAGCTACAAAAATGCCTGCAATTTCTTGTTACGAATCCTAAAATTGTCATTGCACTGGAAACCATTTTAGTAATGTTAGGTACAAAAGAGAATGTCTGGTCAAATAAAATCCCCAGATCCTTTACAGAGGCAAGTCTAGTCAGGATAATACCATCCATATAATAATTAAAGACTATATGAGTTTTTGTGCGGTGGTACGAAACCATATTACATTTGTCGATATTAAGGTGCAATTTATTTTTAATACATCCCTGACCGACAATATTGATGTTGTCATGGAGAGTCATGCAGTCCGCATAGGCAAGCTTGTCGCAGAGATCGTCTATAAATATATCGAACAGAAGTGGTCCAAGGTTAGAAGCTTGAGGCATACCAGAAATTGGAACAAAAAGAATTGATTTAAACTCAGCAAACTCTATGAACTCTCTACGGTTTACCAGATAGGACCTCAACACTGAAATCATCGAATCGAAGAAACCAAATTTTTGAGATGCTTTTTCAATCAGTAAATGATGATCTATCTGATCAAACGCTTTGTGGAAGTCAGCGTATATAATGTCAACTTGACCAATATTTTCGAAAAATCGCTTAATTGCTTAATTCTCAAAAAAGGTGATCCTTTTTTGAGAATAGGATAAACTTTTTCAATTTTTCAAGCTTCTGGATAAACACCAGTTTCAAGTACTAAGTTAAAAATGTGACATAAAGGAGCGCACATTGCGTGGGAACAGTCTCTTATGATAAAACTTGGTATGCCATCAGGACCGGCAGTTATTTTGTTTTTGAGTGCTTTGCTTGCTGATAAGACATCCTGGATGGTAAGCTTAGGTATGTTGATTAGATCGGAATTAAATGACAGGGCTGAAAATGAACATGGATCTGACTGGGATATGGTGTAAACGCTACAAAAGTACAAAGTACAAAGTAAAACTATACTACTAAATTATACTGACTAAATGGTTAGCAATATTAGTGGAGCCCCGCTTGGCGTTTTTTCCGAAAATAAGACTCGGCAATTACCGTTTCGTGTTCGGTCGGTCATTTTTGTTTTAATTCGTGGACCGGGCGGCACATGGCACGCGACAAGACCGCAAAATTTGGCAATAAGTCGGACCACGGGGCACAAATTTTACCGCAGTAGCGTTTAAAATAATGTTGTAATTGGACACAAACACACACATGTCGCGGGTCGTTTTGTATTCCTTCAAAAAAAAACTGTTCGACCGTCGCCTTTTAATTAACATAATTACAATCCGTGCTTACGATGAGTTTGTTACTTTCCGGACCTTCTCTCGCATCCTCTTTTCTAGGCTTCCCTATCCATCCAATCTTGTATTTACGTTCCTCTTCTCTTTATATCCTGCCGAACTCGATTCATCCATTTTTGTTATCGATCATCATCCTTATTCGAACTTTACTCACAGCACATCTGAATAGCTCGATGGAGATAGCACCAGGAAATTCTTCTTCTACCCGGGATTCCTTTCCTTCTACTTTGCCCTGCATGATGTCGTGTGATAGGCGATATGTATTTTCATTTCTCATGACGCGCCCAAAGTATTCAAGTTTATGTGATCTCATCAGTCCAAGGTGTCTTCAGGATTCTTATGTAAATCCACATCTCACGTTGGTGAAAGTGCTTCGAACTTTTTCTATGCAACATTTGATCTCCACAGAATGATTCCAGACTTCATACAGAGTGCTTCCTAAATAAGTGAACTTGTCAACCCTTTCATCGACCGTTATTGATAAGCAGTTCTGTATATGGTGTTGGAGTTTTGTTGAATACCATGGACGGATGTTCCTTATATTTTCTCCATTTAACTTTCTTCCAATTCCATTTATAATAATAATTCCACTCCGGTTTTCCTGCCTTACTTCTCCACGAATTTCTACAGGTTCGGAGTATTTTTCCACTATACACACGACTGCCTTCTGTCCCCATCCCATTTATTATTTTATTTATATTTATTCCGCTTTCTCTCTTACATAGCGATCCGGTTATGCTTAATTGGTTCTATTTGTACCACTTAAGACCGCTTCTCTCCATTTCTTCTGATAGCATTGTTTCTATATCCATTTTTCATTTGATTTCGCTGTTTGTTGTTATTTGCATCCGTGATACTCCACAACTTCTTCTAACAAAATCCGTCTTTCTCGCTTACAGCGTTGTCTGCTGTCCCGTTTTGTTAGTTTCCATGTCTCTACTTATATATTCCTAGTTTTTTCTAGTTATGTTATTATTTGATAAGTAGTTCAATGTACTGATGGCTCGCTTTTGTCGATTAATGCGGTATGGTATTTTTACTTGAGCCTAGGTATAGTCTTGATTGCCTAGCCCAGGTGTAGTCTTGTATTGGGAACACTAAAATTGATTTCTAAACCCATCTCACTCTGTGTCTCATGTAATTTTGCTCATTATATAGTCGTTGTCGTGATGACGATCCCATTTCAAAAGTATTGAAAATGAGCACTAGCTTTTGCAGGAGACCCTTCGTCTGTCTAATTAGCCCGCCCATCTTAATAGTAAAAGTGTTGTTTGTTTACATAGGAGCGCGCTGCTGTGAAACCGCTTTGCTCTTTTCCAATCTGTAAATCTTTCAATGCTGGCTGTTGCACTCTGTAGCTCTTAGTATATGTATGGAAGATAAGTTTGCCATTTTCTATTCCTTTGGAGGATCTTCCATATTCAACAAACATTTATTCTTCTTTTGGTCAAGCAGTTTCACTCGATTTTTCATTTTCCTTAATGTCTGCTTTATTTCCAATATCGTAATTTGTTCTATATCTTCTCGAATTCGGTTTCTTGCAGCATACATTTTTCTCTCATATAATTTATTTCAGTCTTGCATTCTTATTAAGTGAACGTTGAATCTATTTCCGTTTTTTGAATCATCTTATTTATACGTACATTTTTTTCGCAGACTTCGCTTTTGGAATGTTTAACTCCTTTTTCTCTATTTGTAGTGTATGTCATAAGAGAAGTAGTTATTAGTAGTAGGTTCTTTCCTTGCATTTGGGGGCTTTCAGCTCCCTCATTCGAGCAGAGATCGCTGTATGTCTTTCTTTACTTTTCTTAGCATTTCACGTTTTTTTCTATTCTCCCTATTTTTAATTTAATTTTTAAACTTTGTACTTTGGAAACTGGTTTGGGGTGATCGGATGTTTTCGGCAGATTTTAAATACTACTATTAGTGAATTTTTTTTCAATGGTACTTTTAGATACGAAACGAATCAGCTGAAAAGATCGCAATCACATCCTACTTGCTCAAAAGATGCTTGGCTATGCGTCGTCATTGTCACATATATATGTTAAAATGAGACGGTAATTAGTAGCTGATGACGTTCTTGGCATCGTCTTGACCGTTTATAATACAAAACGATATTTTGACAATCAAAACAGCCAAATGTCCCTTTAATCGTAAGTTCATGGTCGCATTACATGGTGGGCAAAACAAAAATTCAGCTTTTAAGCTTTTAAGACGTTATCCATTGTTTCTATAGACGACCTCTGGACTATTGTAAGACTGATCTTATGTTCTAAAGTTGAACCCGGTAGATTGTTTTTACCGCAACGATATGGACGCGAGTTCTTGGGGTTTATTCCTATGTGTGGGTGTGACTTGCGCGTGTCTATGATTCGACAAAATTGCTAAATTATATGACCGACGACAACCGCTAAGCCCACCTCTTGGTCGGGATGAAACAATATAGAGGTCTTGGGTTACAAATCTGCAAACGACCTCGTAAAAATTAACGGCAATAAATGTTACTATGTGTCGCCGTGATGGCTTTGCCGGTAAATTAAAAGGCGATAAACGTCGGTCTAAGTTTTTATTGCCCGCTCTTGGGCCAAAGGGCGTAATTATTCATGTCGAAGGAATTATCAAAGGTGTCACACATTTTGCGCAGCGTCTTTTATTATATTCGGTTTCAAAACCGCCGTAATAAAGGTGGTTTTTATGAATTTTGCCTTATATTAATTGCTTTTTGCAAAGTAATACTTACTCCGTTAGACCCTGTTCATAAAACCAAAGTTTCACCCTTCGCTCCTTTAATCTTGTCATTGTTCTTTAGAAAATTCGAAAATTGGTGTTATTTCGGAGACCGATGTTGGATACTTAAACATAGTTTACAAAACTAAATCACATTTTGTCAATAACAATTTTCGATTTTATTAAATTTAAAGCACTTTATTTTTGCATAAACTGCATACTTGTCAATAAACCTCGTATGCAAAATGTTTCATGAAGAGTTTCTCATGGCTTATTGAGCAAAATTTATTTTTTAATTTAACATCTGACAGTTGTATTTTAGGTTTTAGACCATTATGGACTTATTATAAACAATACCTTTTTGGCGTGAAATTAATAATAAAAATGTTTTTTATATGGTGCCGACTTAATTGGCCTCACTCTATAATATAACCGCCACTTCCATTGCGATAAGATTTTCTTGGGACTTACCGCAGAATTGTTGCCCAATCGTTAAAACGCGGATGTAGATTTTTTTTTGCGGACTGTATCTTCGAATTTCTGCGTTATAGGAAAAATTTTCTTTTCCAGGAAAATCATTCTCGATAACCATAACTATATCGACGAGCCCGCCCCAAGTAGCGACGTATAACAAGGCGATCAAAGTGACCGTTGACGGACCCAGGGAGCCAAGATCGAAAACTGGTAAGTCAGCTTGGTTCAAATTGTCAATGTAGGTTGCATAGAGTGCAGAAGTGCCAGGGAAATGTCTTAAAAGTTTAAAAAAAATGCATTTGGTTTTCGCGGTCTTTAATTAAAAATTTGTGTCACAGTTAACTTAATTTAAGGGAAACTCTGGAATTCCAGGATTTAAATTCCATTGCGAGGTTAGGTAATGCTTCCCAACCGGTTCGCAGTGCAACAAAGTGCTTTTAAGTTTGGGTTGTGAGTATGAAGAGAAATAATATAACATATCACTACAAATGGACACTACGCAAAATTTGTCAACGTGTGTTGATTTTTATATAAATAAATTCAAGATGAATGTCAATTTAAACGTTTAATATAATAAATAATAATAATAAACTTGACTATAAGGCAAATGTCTTTATAGATGATGTCATAGCAAATTCCTTTTTTTTAAAATGACAGATTAGGCAAAGTAAAGTATCATGTATCTTCGCATTTTTACCACTGATAGCAATGTAGGGGCCATCTGGGTAGAGGACATTTTCCAGAGTTCCTAGGATTCCCACTTTGCTTAAAGCCTCTAGAAAGCCCTTCCTTGTTGCTGTTACATATTGTACATTTTACGCTACTGATAGTTTGATATTTGTTGTAAGACTTGAATAATGAGCACTTAAGTCGTTAAAATTAATAGTGCGATCTGATGCACCAGAATCCAAAGTGAATGTAATTTTGTTTTTATTTTCTTCGGAGTATTGTTGACTTCCAAGCATAAAGGCAAAACTTGGGGTTTCGCTTGTGCCTAGCTGGATAATTTTAAAATAGATAGGCTTCTCACAATGACAGTTGTCTTTGATTGCTTTTTTGTGAAACCGACTATTTTCGGGCATTTTTAGGAACTTGTTCTGCTATTGCGATATATTCGACAGATTTTCTTCCCATACCGGAGGTTTCTTGTCACTTCTTTTGCAAAACCAAGGAATGAGTCTGACAGATACACCACAAAAAACACTTTTCGCAGTACGTCCTAGTTTTCGCAACTCTTCGATAACCAGATCATGTTTAACAGCTATTAACACTATTATCGATATTCACTAAACACTCTAAATCCCTGTTAATTATTCATGGTGAATATTATAGAAATATTTAATTTCTCTTTTAAAACGAGCTTACTGACGATCCGCAATGTATCTAACAATCAAGTTTTAATTTTTTTTTACAAAAAAGGAAAACTGCTTTCTTGAAAAGAACCCTCGAAATTAATTTTTGTTAATATTCCAACAAGATATTATTATTATTTTATCATCACCATTTATCGAGCATTTAATATATGGATAAGGGAGGATTCAAAAAAGGCGTGGTTTATTAATCTTTTTAGTTATACATATGTCGATAAATATTTTGCATACATTTCTCTAGATTTCTCGACTATCATTCGCCAAAATTCGTTTCGTCGGTCGGGCACGGATAATTGTACTCCTCGTGTTAAAATGAAGAAAATCCCAACCTAACCAAAAATAAAAAACGATTTTTGGTTAGTTGGTTGACTGTTGTTTGTTAAGATCGTTTTTGCACATTTAATTTAATTTAATTAAAATTAGCATAAAATATAGAACAGAATAACAGCACTACTGGTAGGTATTTGTTATTTTCGTATTCTATTCTGAAACCTTTTAGGACATAAAAATTTTAAAAATTTGTGTTCATAATCCCCAACTTAAATTACAGATGTATCCTGTTTTGATACATTTGCTGCATACGAAGACGAATCGAGGACGCATCTCAGATCTAAAAATTGCGAAAAAGTAATGAGAGATTTAATCTGCAAGAGAGGATAGATTCATTGGATTGATTCGGCTAAATAAGGAGCTAGTTCTCAATTTATTTAACGAATTGCTCCCACACATGGAAAATAGTAATATGAATTCAAGAATTCCAAAGCAAACAAGAACTGATTGCGCAACAACTGTCGAATCTCTCCAAACTGAACAAGGAAATACTCAAATTAAAAGAGCTTTTATGAAAAAAGGTGGACCCAGGAAATATTGGCTGTGTAGATAGAACTCATATAGCAATCATCACACTGCATGAAAATGCTATGTCAGCAGAAAAGGATTTCATTCCAAAAACATGCACATAACAAGTGGAGGTAACGGATTAATAAATGATGCATTTATTTGGCGTGCTTTGGTGATTGGAAACTCAATATCCTGCAGGAAAGCTATACATATTTTTATTTTTTGCTCTTCACTATGTATTTCGAGGTATACTTTAATGGATGCATTGGTGTTTTTAAAACTCGATTTAGATGCATAATGGGGTTCTCAAACTATATTGTACTCCTGAGGAAGTTGACAGAATTATTTGTGCATTTGCGGTTTTTGCAGTAAGAAATTGTTAATAGATATTTTAGACAATAAAATAATCTGAACGCATACGCTGTAGCATTTTTATTATTATTTTTTAATTGCCTACAAAAAAAACATCACTAGGAAACTATTAAAAAAAAAAACAAATATTAACACAGAAAATAAAATAAAACAAGATTGCAGAGACAAACTAATTTTCCGTTTATGTAGAAACTGTTAAATTAAAAAAAATATTTTGACTCCAACCTTTTCAGTAATTGTGAAAACAAATCATTGCGTCTTTCTTAATTTTGACATAATTGGAGTAAACCAGTAAAATAATCGACGCTCAAAACAAACCAAATATATATTTTTAGAGAGAAACTTTTGAATTGAATTTCGGAAATACGTTCGGCTCCATCGAACCTATCCGAAAGCGCTTACAGAGTTTAAAAATGGTCCATTACCGAAATAATCTCTTCGTCTTCTAATAAAACGAATTACAGAGTCCCACCCCAGGGGCACGCGGGCACGCTACTGATCTCGCAGGCGAATCCCTGCTCCCATTGTACAAATAACCATCGGTCAATCGGTAATAGAATTTTACTTTAATCATACCGATCGCTGGTAATGAGCGAGCGAGATGGAAAACCAATTTAAGGAGCTCGTTCACGAATTTTTTTGCTCGAGCATTGTGTTTGGGTTCGGGGAAGGCGTCCGGTCATGTGTAAAGTTTCCGAACCATTCGGTGGTGGTAATTATCGATTCGGCAGATATCACTACTCATTTTAGATTTGTTTAAATCGATGATATTACGCTCACATTATGCTCACATCTTCTTGGCGACGGCATATGGATAAAAGATTTAAAATGTATTTGTTTAATATTTTTATGAAATGAAATTACACTGGCAAAAGAGAAGTGACTAAGGGAAAGGTAGGGGAAAGCGGGTAACACTGGGACAGTAATTTGTCTTTTCTTATTATTTAAAACGAAAAAGAAAATATATTTTTCTTTTGTGTATCTGATAGAAGTGTATATCTAATTTGATTTTTAAATGTGGTTTAGAATGAAAATCATAACAAATAATGACAATGAATTTGTCATTTGTCTTACTGTTCCCCAGGTATGTGGTACAATGGAGACACTACATTAACTAAGCACTATTAATTTTAAAAAGTTATATCAAACCACCAAATTTACACTAAATCACAACAAAATGGTTATTAAGTGTAGAAAAACGGTAATTTGCAACGAAGATCCAGGTTAAATTTAATTTCAAACGAATAATAAGAATTCTGCCGTTTTATGTTTCCATAGTTAATCGGATTTGGTAAAATCACTTTAATAGCACTTCAATAGTGGCAACATCTGGAACGTCTGGAAAATAAAACTTTCCTTCCATTTTTAGGCTTTTCCTTAAAAATGTTACTACCAATTCATCATTCTTTGATGATAAAATTTTTCCAATGTAGTAAATGGGTTTGCATAGAAGCTGAAAGTCTCGGTCATCTGGGAAATAGTTTCCATCTCAACAAAAAGATCAACACGGTGAAATAATAACCGATACAATCGAGATCAAGCATATTGAAATTAATGAAAAACAACCAAGTGTCAGGTCCTGGTAATATGTCCTCGAAAACCCTTCACCTAATCAGTGAAAAAAACTTGAACACAATAGTAAAACTATTCAATAATATTTACGACATTCCACACCTTCGGGAAAATGAGCTCCGCTATAAGTTTATCGCCCAATGCCCAATACCGAATAACAAGGCACTTCCTAAAGCTTTTCCTTCGAATCCTCCACAAAAAATGTGAGGAGGTAAGCAATCAGTTTGGATTTAAAAGCGCATTTGGAACTAGAAAAGCCATATTTAGTTTCCTATTGTACCGAATTGCTAAGACCAAAGAAAAGGTCTTTTCATATGTTTCATCGAGTATTTGGGACTTGGAGGCAAGGATAATAAGGCTGATCAGTAATCTGTGCTGGAACCAAAATGATAATGCAGGGGCAATCAAAAGGGAGTTAGACAAGAGAAGGTATATGTTTTCGCCAATGTTATTTAACCTGTACGTGGAAAGGAAAGAATATTTGTCGGATAGCCCTACCGGCATGAAAATAAACAATAACGGATCTGCAGATGACACTGTTATACTAGATAATGTGAATGACCTCGAAACTCTACTATGTCGCATTAATGAAGCGAGACAGTGAACAACTAGGTCTAAAATATCAACATGGTTGTTAGCAGAAACAATATCTCACGAGTACGAAAGATGGACTCCAGATGAGGGGAGACGAGGCTGAATCGAACAAGTTAGAAGAATATTCTTAAAATTTCCGAAATATTTTACGAACATAACCATGAACTTCAGTCTTAGATACAGCATGATGGAATCTTATGTCTGGTGTCCTGTGTCGTACGGAGGGAGACCTTTTTAGCAATATTATCTAGTTTTGGGTAGTTTTATCTTCTTCTTCTTTGGGATTTCCGAATATCACCCTTAGGAAGCGCTTTTATAAAGCCTGTAGTTAGTAACATCTTCATAACTTCAAAAAGTGTAATAATTATGCTGTTTAATCCTGAATTCAGTTGTTCGGAGATAGTTCTACCAGAAAACGATGTTTTTAATATCAAATTCAAATGATCTCGGCTTTAAATGAAA